TTTTTTATTTTTAACGTATTCCCAGGGGACTTCCCACTTTCCATGCCCACCAATTTAAACCCCTTTGGATTAATTATTTCCTCGCACATTATGCAATTTTCATTCATTTCCACACACAAATTTTTATTTGCCATATATCATATTATACGTTATTGTTGTTGACTTTGTTGCTGGCTTTCCGCAACAATTCGTTTTTTCCTCAGTTTGATTGAATCATGTCGCGGGGATTTTAATGCAATTTTCCCAGTCCAAGGCCCATTTAATTGGAATTCCAATTTGGTAGCAGCAGAGAACAAAAAATACAAACATCCACAACAGCTATAAAATTGTTTTTCATCTCATTATTGCAAGTGGTCAAAGTAATTCATAACACATACTCGATATTGAAAAAAATGGGGGGAATAATAATTAATTATTTCGGTTAATGGAGGTTTCAGCAAGCTGCGGATTAAGGGTTAGCTTATATAATTTAAGAAAAATGATGAAATTTTAAATTAGGTATTTTCCTTATTTTTTACAATATTTAAGACGTGATATTCTTCATTGCACCATTTAATCGTACTGCACTTTAAATGCACTTTTAAATGGCTCTGAATTAAATTATGTTATTAAGAATATCTTGTGTAATATATGTATATGTTATTCTGAAAGTTAAATACTTTAATAAATTAAAAAATACATGTGTTTAGTTGTATTTTTCCATCAATTAGTAGTAATTACTTCCGAATTTCCACTTCTCTTGATAGCAAATATTTTTTTTATAGTATTTTTTTACATTCAGGTTGTGACCTTGAATTTATCTCTGTTTCCATGATTTATTCCCAAGAATTATTTCTAGAATTATAGTTTCGGCAAATGAAATACATCTGAAATGGGGGGAAAATCTCTTAAAGCAATCCACTCTGGCTTTTCCTCCTACTGTTTTTCTGTGTTTTATTCGACAAATCTCTTCCAACATCTTTTGCCATTTTTTCCCCAAACCCAAGAGTTCCCTAACCAACCAACTCACATTGCAGCAAAATGTGCGGAAAGCTGAGTCAATTTGCTGACTTACACAAAAAGTGCATATGCGCAACCATTCTGGCGCCCCGGTTTTTCCAGGAAGTGCAATTTCCATATGGGTAGCTAGCTAGCTGGCAGAAAATGTACATCACTTTGCTTACGACAAACTCCCCAGTCCAGCTCGACAAAACAAGAAAAAACAAAAAACAAAAAAATAAAACGCCCCCAAAAAATACTTGCAAATGCTCCAAATCTCGGGCAGAAAAGCCCGGCACAGAAGTTGGCAGTTATACGCTGGCATCCTGGCATCCTGGCATACTGGCATCCTGGCAATGCCTCCTGGGAATTACCTTGGTTATTGTTTCAACATTTTTATCTGCCCGCCCTCGACAGCAGAAAAAATAAATGGGGAACAGGTGAGGTGATACAAGAAGAGAGGGTTCTTGGGACCCAAGAAAAAAAAAAATAAAACACAACAAAAATTGGAAGAGGGGTACATTACATATGCCACGAGTGCGTTGGGGCATAAATCCCAATTTAATCCATCCGGCTTTTAGTTTTGTACATTTTCTATCTCTATTTATTTTCTGGGTTTCTCCTCTTAATAAAGTATTCCCTTTTTTTTTGTGTGTTTGAGTATATTTTTACAGTTGTTGAAGGACCAAAAATTCAGTTTTGGCTTTGTTTCTCTTTTAATAGTTCGAAATTTTTGTAGTACTTCTGCAAATGAATTTTTTGTTTGAAAAGGTAGTGCTTTCCACTTTTTATTTTCATTGCAAAACGACTATTCAAAATAATTTCCTACCCTTGGGGCTCACTGGTAACGTCTTTACTACTGTTATCTTTGGAAAGTATAAAAATAAATATTTATAATTAGTTGTTATTAGATAACAGATAAGAAATAACTTGTCAAATAAATACGTAACCCAAATAAGTTTTCTTTGATAAGTAACAAACAAATATAACTTCTAATCTTAAATCCAATATTAATACAACAGTTTCAAATGTTTAACAAGTTTTACATAACTATTTGTAGTGCGTTTTAAAACATCTGTATTAGATATTTACATTTAGTTTAGGAATAATAGCCACAAAACTTTAACAATAAATTTTGTGGCAGTCTGTTGTTTTTAATATATATATAGTGTTATGTTTTTTGACCAGCCTAGTAACCTGTGCTTCTCCTCTAGCACTCCCCAATGAATTTGCTGAAAAGTGTTTGGTGTCCGGCGAGCAAACATTTTCGTGTTTTGTATTTTCGTGTTTTATATTTGTACCTTCAAATGCTTGTTCTGAGTGCCTACCTGCCGCTAAGCTGCGCTTCGGAACAATAAAAGATAAGCCGACTTAATCCCAATGGGGATTGCCCCCGATCTGCGTTCGTAAAACCTGATGTTTTAGTATATTACTGCAGTTGCTGCTTCTTTTGATTGTTTTTATTAAAATAGAAACTTATCAGTGGCCTCTGAAACACAATCGTGGCACAAAAAAGACACACAAATGGCATTACATGGGGGTATAAACTTTGATAGGCGCCAGTCGCGATCGCGATTGTCGAACAAACGATTGAATCACTCGACGGCAACAACTCTGATATGCAATCAAGGTCAAAGGTTCAACAGCAAAAGCAAGAGCCTATCATAGAATCGACTATCTGATACCCATCAATACTCATCAGCTAAAGGGTGTTCTAAATATTTTTACTCGGTATATAATAAGTTCAAAAAAATATTTTAGTTTAAAATATTTATATTATTTTCTCAATTAATTGTTGAATTCAGCTAAATTCTTAATACCTCCTATATTAATGGGTATCAAAACAAAAGAAAAGGAAATGCATAGACAAGCTTAAAATATTTATGTCTCCCCATTGAAAGAGACGGCAAAAAGAGAATGTCAACAAGTGAATGACTAAGCTTTGACCTCAGCTTTGTTCCCTCTCTTTCTGCTGCCATATTCTTTCTCTTTCGTTCGACTTAGCTTAGTTTTGTAACCTATTCAACTTGTCACCCATTTAAACTTATCAATTTTACTTTCAGTTTTCATTTCCATTTCCCCAGCTCATGTGAATACGATAAGCCTGCTGCTGCCTCTTTCTTTCACACTAACTCGCCGTCTCTTTCACTTCTCCTGCTAGTGACACACAGAGAATAAGTATGTATTTTGATTGGCAATATAAATTACGTTTTCTTTTAATGAAGAATATTTTTAGTGTACTATTGATTTTTATAATTAAATTTGTTTGAAGCAACCGTATTTTTTGAAGTGTACATAAGAAGCTTTTCAATTAGCTTTGGCACTATAAAAACATTTAAAGACCGGACAACTCAATACATTGAAATGCATTTTCGACTTACGACAAAGTTGAAGTCAAAGTTTAGTTGAAGGCCAACTGCAGCTTAATTCTTCTTTTTTTTAGCCGTTTCAGCTTTATCTTTTATAAGCCAAAAAGAAGCCCCACAAAGTGCACTAAACAGCAGAAACAATAAATGCAAAAAAAAGATAGGTATATATACAAAATACAAAAAAAAAAAACAGAAAAACCGCCTGTCGAGACACATTTTAGCAATAAAAGCCAACTGCGAAAGAAGTGGAAAATAATATAGAGAAAAAATAAACAACAATAGCTACAACAATGCGACGGACAGAAAATCACGGCGGCAGAAAAAGAAGAAGAAGAAGCGCGAACCAGGTAATCAGCACCACCAAAATGGGACAGTGGGTCAAAAAAAAATAGGCTAAATAGGTTGCAATAAATAGAAATTTGTACCAAAAATGTCTTACTTAATGATAACTTTAGGTCTTAAAGCCAAATAAGTTACCAAAATAGCTTTGAAAACAACCAAAACTTCACTCAATACAAATTTTTTATATAAAATATTTTTTGTTTTGTTTTGGTTTGCTTGAAAACTGAACCTTTAAATGGTAAATGTGCTGTATTTGTTTACAATTATTTCTTTTTTTAATACATTCAAAGTAGATAGATAATTTTGCAGTAAAATGTAGCGATTCGACCCACTGTGTCAGTTGGCAGGAAGCCGGTAAGAAGAAGCATTGGAGGGAAAAGCGAGCCAAACAAAAGGCAAAAGGTAGACGGTTGATGGTTGAAGCAGAGCAGCTGCTGCTTTTCCCTGCTTCTCTGCGATCGCGTTTACGTTTACCTGGTGTCCCTTGTTTTACCTCTCACCTTTTGCTTACCTGTTCGCTTTTTGGGGAAGGAAGGAAACGAGGGGAAAAACCTGCTGCAACGACCCGGAAAATTTGCATCAGCAGAGGAAGAGGGGAGGAAATGGGAAAGAAATGCATCGAAATTCCCATGCATTTATGAGCCATTTCCATAATTTTAAAACAAGATATGTATATAGGTTTATATGTCACCCCGCAAAGTGCAATATAAATGCTGCATTACACATTTTAAGTGGATAATATAATTTTTTGTGTTATCCTGAGCTAATTGTTAAAAATTGTTTTGTGTGTTTCCATTCTCATTTTTTTAACATTATATACAACAAGTAATATTACAAGAAATTTTTTAAATAAACAAAAGTCTTGAAAATACTTATATAAACCTTTTTTTTATTATATATTTCACATTTTGCTGTGAGGAGTTCGATTACCAGTTTATTCGCTATGTAATGATTTTAAAACTAAAATGTGTGTTACAGTTCTCCGATTTACGCTGCAATGAAGCAGAATGGACCCTTATTTCTTGCAGTGTGAGGGTGAGAAAGGGAGTTTATCAGTATGCGGGTGGCAGGTAACAACATACAAATAATAATCCGGAAATTTCCACACTGCGCAAACCAAAACGGTGAAAAAGAAACCCAATACCGAACCAAATCGAAAATAAACTGCGAAAGTAATTGTCACCCAGTAACAAAAATGTTGGTTAATATTTCCCCCAGCCGCAAATGTTTTCCGCTTTTTTGAGCATGTAAAACCAGTGAAAGTTCTTTTCGAACGTGTCGCAACATAATTAAACATGAAAAAAAACTTACCTCACTTCCAGTTGAATGTAATTCCAATTAATTGCTTGCCGAGGCGAAAACCAATTCCATTTGATTCTTGAAATAAAAAACCAAAAACACTCAGATACAACCAAAAAAAATTATAAACAAAAATATATCTTGAGGGGGTTTTTTCTTAATAATTTCACATGCAATTTGTTGTTTTATAACTTGTTTTACTTTGTGTTATTTATTAATAATTTATTTTCTTTGTTTATACAAATTCATATAAAGAATTGTATTTAGTTAAATGGCTTTAAATAAAATCTGTTTTTTTGGTAATTAATTGTTAGAAACAAGTCGTTTTTTGTTTGCGCATGATTTTTGTAGTCACTTTTGTTTGCACAAACAACATTTATTTCGTACATAAGTTAATTTTTTTCGTTTAGAATAGCCTACAACATATTGTGATTTATTAATTAATCATTTTAATTTTGTTTTTTTGCACTTTTATTTGATCTTCAAGCAATTAGATATTATTTTATTATTCACTTGACAAATTTTTGGAATTAAATAACTTTTGATTGTTTGTAGTTCAAAATTTGGTCATATTAAATATTAATTTATATTTCAACACATGTTTGCCTTTTGAAATTAATTTGTTGTTTATTTTGGTCTTGTTTGCTTGTAAAATTTAATTGTATTTGAAAATTGTGGTATTTAAATCACTTTTTTTTATGTTTTTGCTGTGATTTGTCGTAATTTGTTTTGGGGTTTGTTTGCTGCTCGAAATTAGTTAATTTGTGATTGGAAGTCGTGAGGGGGAGCGGGGTGACGTTCGTCGAAACAAAAACAAACACCTGCAAACTCGCGCGCAACTTGCACAAACTTGTCAAGCATTTACCGTTGTTCAGCTGCGCCTGCGCTGCGTCGACGTCGAAAAGCGTTGCAACTGGCAACCTTTTTTTTCTGGATTTTGTTGCCTTCGCATGCGTGCCACTCACAGAAAAAAACAAACAAAACAGATCGAAAACCACCAAAAATATACACTCCGCCAAAAAGAAACGCGACGGATAACGAAAAATGCCGACGAAACAACAACGAACCGGAGCGGAAAAAACGAAACAACGAAAAACAACAAACTCGATCGACGATCAACACAGTTAGAGGTGGGGATTTGACGAGGATAACTATCGATGCCAATATCGATGCCAGCATCGATGGTTTTCACAGCTTGGACTTATCGATGCTAACCCGTCTCCCTCTTTCTGTTAACTCGACGTTTCCCTAACATTTCCCTGTTGGAGGTGGAGAAACATCGATGCCATCGATTATTGATGTTTTCCACCACGATCCACAGATCAACAAACAAGATTAGAGATGGGGATGCCAAAATCGATTGAAACAACGGCCAATCGATGTTTGTTAAGAACTTGGATTACCTGCATAACATAAATGTTATTGACTGATTGGCAACCTAATATAAGCTATTTAAGTTTGAGCCAAATGTAGCTACTTTTCGTGATAGACATATGGCATCACTGACAAAGAGTCAACACTTTATTCCAGAGGTCTGGCAACTCGGCCGTCAGCTGTTTGAAAACTTCAAAGTTTATTTTTGATCGACAAATTGTAAAAATTAGTTTAGCCAAGAAATTAGAGACAAATCAAAAGCCGCAATCTATGAGCCTGATTCGCCAGCAACTTGGCGTGTCCTTGAGAGCCATCACCCGCACTACCCACCCACTTGTATGGCCAGAAAAGACAAACAAACTGAGGGAAAACAAGCGATTTTACACCTTCAACAAGATGGACTCCAAAGATCTTAAGTACCTAAATCAAAAGGAGGCTATCGACGTGGACCAGGAGCTCTTCACGGAGTACAAGTTCAGTGTGGACCAGCTGATGGAACTGGCCGGCTTGAGCTGTGCCCACGCGGTGGCCAAGTGTTTTGCTGCCGAGAAGCATCCCCGCATCCTGGTCTGCTGTGGTCCCGGCAACAATGGAGGCGACGGACTGGTGGCCGCCAGACACCTCTCCCTGATGGGCTACACTCCCACCATCTACTATCCGAAGCCCACGCCCAAGCCGCTCTTCGAGAGCCTCAGCCACCAGTGCCGCCTGATGGAGATCCCCAGTGTGGCGGAATGCCCGTCGGTGGCCAGTGCATCCTGCAGCTACGATCTCATACTGGACGCCCTCTTTGGATTCAGCTTCAAGCCACCGGTGCGAGCGGATTTCGCCGCCGTCGTGGAGCTGTTGCAGCAGACCAAACTACCGATTGCCAGGTAATTGTCCATCTAAGGATCTGGATTCAAAGTAGCCATATTAGAGGCCAGTTATTAATTTGTATATGTTGATTTGATCAATATCCATCGACTCGCACAAAAATCTTTCAAATCGAACCAGTACTTTAGAAGTTATTAGCATAAATGTAAATAATTGTTCGATTTTTAAGTTAGCTTTTGGTAGTGATCCTGTAGCTCTGCAGATGGCGCCACTTAAAAAACAAATTCATTTCAAAGGGCATATTTATATTTACCTTATTAAAATGATTAATATTATAAATATAATGCCTTCTATAAATGTGATTTAGTGATTTGTGATCAAAAATAATTGTTCTTTGTAATATCTAATATGTATTCAGTTTTTTTTCAGTTCAGAGTATGAAGGAAACAGGAAAGTAAATTTCCAAAATCAGTTTTTTACTTACTTTTTATTTGAAATCGTTCACTTTATTTCTCCCCCTTACTTACCTTATCTTTTCTTCAAAATCATCTCAATTTCGTGAGGTTTTTCTATTATAAATTGCACCATTTAAAATTCATTTATGTGAGCCACATTTAAATTTCGTATAAATCCATGATAATGAAAAGCTGAAAGATCCAGAAAGGGGCGCATAACTTGATCATTTAGTAGGGAAAGTTCTTGATAAAACAGCGTAATAAAACAGCTTTTCTTATCCCAAACTTATGATATGTATTTCTTGCAGTGTGGACATCCCCAGCGGTTGGGACGTGGAGAAGGGAAAAGTGAGTGAATGCGATCTGGAACCGTCTCTGCTCATTTCCCTGACTGCTCCGAAGCTCTGTGCCCGTCAATTCCGTGGCGAACATCACTATTTGGGCGGCAGATTCGTACCGCCCGCCATGCAGCGCAAATACGAACTCAATCTGCCCGTATATCCGGGCAACGAACTGTGCGTCAAGCTGTGATTTATACATTTATACAATGCTTGCAATGGCCAAATAAATAATGGATTCTTAAACGAAGGCTTTCTTCTCACTAAATGGATACATGGTGAAAAAGATAGTTGATCACAAAAGTGACTTTGTAAGGCTGGAAAATAAAAGAATAACAAAATCTCTATTCAAAATCTGTTTATAAATATTCCACGTAAGTTTTTAAAACATTTTGCAGTAAAATTAAGTTTAGAAAAACAAGAAAAGTTAAGTCTTTACGTAAAAAAATGTATTTCCATGAAAAAAAAAATGTATAAATATTTAAAAAGGTTCTCTTTAAATTTGCACTTTTATAGCTTGGTTATTCTTGTAAGATTTTATAAATGCCAACTTAGTTATATGGTTTTCCACACATTTATCTCAAACATTTGTGTTATCCCTTCTGTTTTATTTGATATATATTACATATTATTTAAAGTCTACGATTAGGAAGTGGGCAAAGCTTGCCAACTGCATATTACCCGACCATCTATTTGTACAAGCGATTGTAGTTCTTGCGTCGGCGGTCCTCCTCGAAGTTGTTGTTCCTGGCCCACTCCTTGAGGTTGCCCTTGGAGCGCAGCATGGCCGACTTGGAGTCTACGTCGCGGAGCACGAAGGGCGAGAACCCAGCGGTGTAGTCCTGATCCAGGGCGTTCGTCTTGGTCTTGGCCACCCGCGACGGCATCTGGCGCGGCATGGGCTGATCCTCGAACAGGATGGGGTTGCGCGAGTGCTTGCCGCCGTGGAAGCGCGGCAGGCTCTGGTTCTTGTACTTGTTTGTCAGCGGTCGCCTCGTATTGATGTGAATCACCTGCCGCCCGTTCTCGTCCAGGCTAACAGCCACCCTTTTCAGCGTCTTGTTGCCGCAGTTGGGACAGAAGACCTTGGTCATGATGCTGGTGGTTTTGTAGCAGGCATAGCAACGCAGGATGTAGGTGCGCAGCTGCTTGATGATCCTGCCATTCAGGGCGGCCAAATGGAGATTTAGCTGCTTGAGCACATTCTGCAGGGCATAATCGGTGGTCATGCAGGCCACCGGCGGCACCTCGTCCGTCTCCACCTTGCCCTCCAGCGCCTTCTTGGCCTTCCTGATGTTGGAGTGCGTGATCCAGCCATCGTCGCCCACTTCCTCTTCGAGATTTTGGCTTTGCCGGGCTGCCTGTGGCTCTGTTTCCTCGGCTTCATCTTCCAAAGGCTGGGCAACGAGGAGCTCCGCCAGCTCTTGCTCTTCCTCTGCGCTGGGAGCGCACTTGAGCTGCTCGAACAGCTTGTCCAGCTCCTCCTGACTGGGCTCATCCTCCTCGTGATGAGTTTCCTGGCTGGGCAGAGGTTCTTTGCCAGCCAACTGAGCTTCAATGGCTGCTTTGACATTGTCTACGGGTGGGTCCGTTTCCTGCTGATCCTGCGAGCCCTCCTCCTCCTGGGAGTCCTCTTCTTGGGAATCCTCCTCCTGGGAGTCCTCCTCCTCTTCACCCTCGGGCATGTACCAGCCTACCATCCTCTTATTGTTGGCATCCTGCATTTCCTCCGGCTTCTCCTTGGAGGCAATGGTCTGGGCCATCACGGGCTCCGTGCGCAGGTGGGCGGTGCCCACGGTGTCCGCCTCCAGTTCGTAGGTGAGCGAGATGACCTTCAGATCGATCCCCGAGAGACTGGCATAGTCGCCCGTCCGCTTGGCGAACTCCACGCAGTGTTTGATGCTCTCGGCGCGGGGTTCGCGCACCTGCAGGTCAAAGGGCAGCACGCAGAGGCGTCGTATTTGGCGCTTGTTGCGCACCTCGGCCACCACATCCGGCACGGTGAGCACCTGATCGGCATATTCCTGGAGGGGATTGGTTCGGTATTTACTACTATTTACAAGGTGTTTCCCAGCGGAAAATAGCCTTAACTCACGTTTAGGGGCACGGCATTTATGAAGGCGGTGGTGTCCGCCACTAGGAACTTGATTTTTCCACTCGATTCGGCCATTTTGCGGTGTAAATTCTCACATGAAAACCAATGCAAGGCAAAACATAAAAACAATTCTGCACGTGTCGGGATATAAGTGTGACCAGAGCGTTACAAACGTACTATTGGAGATGGTAGCAACGGTATTTTTTATAGCTAAAGTCTAAAGTTTTAAATTTATATATTAGACGCTATTTTTGAGAAACTTTGACGTCTTAGAGATTTTTTTTATTTATGCAAACCTCACCTTGTACATATGAAAAATGAATTTTAAAAACATATCTGTTTTTAAAAATTTTAAATCTGCAGTAAACTTGTAATTAATTTGCTTGTGAATTTAAAATAAATGGCTTACCAAAGGTTTTTATTTGCAATTGATTTTTATTTTACGGTGCGAAAATTTACATATTTAACTACTTTTTTTTCCGGAAAGACTTTCAATCGTTTATTCAAACTTAACTGCAATTAAATTGTTAACTTTCTTTCTATTTACATATATCTCACCAGGTAAATCTAGCTAACGGATTATGTATTTTAAAAGCTTTGCAGCTTTAAAAACATTTAATTAAAGTTGTTGCTTACAACGCAAGTTTTTTGATTTGAATCAATAGCATAAAAAGGGTTTTAATTAGAAATCGATTACATTCTTAACAATAGACTTCAATTTTACGCTGCTATTCATATATAATAAAAATAGCATAACAATTGAAATTGTTTCGAAAACTAAAAACATGCCATGCAACATTTTGGTATATTTTTGGCGATAGCTTGTGTAATGAAATCAGACCTGCGCTACGGTCACACTGCCGTTCGGTCAGCGGCAAGTGCCATCTCTAGTTTTCAAGCCAAAAATGGCGAAGTTTTCACTCGTATTTTGTTCAGATTGTGAGCTGATTTTGTGAACGGAGGACACAAATTACCGGACTTTTTCGCCGGGATTCAGTGAAAAGGCATTTGCCAATTGCCAATTGCAGCACTGCGAGAAAGCAAAGCGACATCCGCGATGTGGAACCATTGGCAGCAGGCGGCTGCAGTAGCGGCGCCGATGAGCGCCCCCCCGCCGCAGCCGTCGGTTCCGCCGCCCCTGCCCGACGCCCCGCCCCCTCCGCCTCCGTCCGATGGGGGCGCCCTTGCAGGCGGCGGAGGAGGTGCTGCTCCATCCGTACAAGCGGCAGCTGCCCAGGCAGCCACAACTGGAACAACCACCACCGCGGCGGCGGCGGCGGCGATGGCTTTTAACCCCTATAGCAGTGGGCAGGCCACAGGGGCGGGCAACCCCTACGAACAGTATACGGCCGCCCAGTACGCGGCCATGACCCCGGAGCAGCAGTACGCCCTGCAGCACCACTGGCACCAGTGGCAGACCTACCAGGCGGAGTACGCCAAATGGCATGCCCAGTACGGCGAGCAGGTGGGTTTTAGTTATCCATCTATCTAGTATATACACCTGTATCCACTTATAACTTTAACCATTGCAGTACAAGCGCGAAATGGCCGCCGCCGCTGCTGTGGCCACCAATCCCGCTGTCCAGGGCGTGCCCGCACCAGTGGCCGCCGTGGTTTCACCCGCTCCCGTTGCCGCCGTTGTGCCCGCTGTTGTTGTGCCCGGGCCACAGGCCTATCCCGTGGCGCAGAACTATTACCAGGGCATGTCGGCCGTCTCACCGGTACCGGCGACCACACCGAATCCCATGCAGAATCCCCTGCCAGTGGGTGGTGCGCCGCTGCCGGGCAAGATCATGGCCCAGCCGCAGATGTACAACCAGCCGCCGCCGCCACCGCCCCACAAAAGTGGCTATCAGATGTCCAATCAGAGCCAGGGCAATGACAACAACCAGCAGCAGCAGGGCATGTGGTCGGGACCGCCACCCATGCAACAGCAGCAACAACAGCCGCCATCGAATCGGTATGGCGGACAAATGAACTACAATAGTGGCGGACAACCGGACAACCAGGGCTTTCCCAATCTCCAGCAACCGCCGCCTTCGCTGCAGAGACCACCACCGCAACAGCAGCAGCAGCTGCAAAACAACAATAACAACATGGACAACAACAACCAGCAGTGGGGCAACAACAGTCAACGAAGTGGTCGTCCGCCCTGGGAAACCAGTGGTCCGCCGCCCGATAACTTTGGGCAGCAACAGCAACAACAACAACCAGGACGCTGGGATGGTCCACCGCCGCAGAATGATAACAACAATCGCTGGAATGGACCGCCTCAGGTCAACAACAACAACAACGTCAACAATCGACGCTGGGATGGCCCGCCAAATCAAACACAATCTGGCGGAGATCAGCAGCAGATTCAACAGAATCAGAACCAAAATCGCTGGATGAGCGGACCACCACCGCCCAGCGATCAAAACCGCTGGATGAGTGGACCACCGCCGAACATAAGTGAGCAACAGGAGCACCAAAACAGTAACAGTAACCAGCCACAGCTGAATCCCCGCCAGAATCGTTGGCAGAACAACAATTCGGATGCGGAGCCACCGCCAATGAGGAACAACAACAATAAGCAGAACAACTTTCAGAACAATCGCAAGAGTTGGGGGCAACCGGACGAAAGAGGAATGGGTGGAGGAGATGGTAACCAAAACCAGAACCAGAATCAGAATCTGAATGCTGCCCAACGCAACCAGAACCCATTCACCAAGAACTCTCAGTCCGATTTTGGCCCAGATGGCAATGGCAACAATTGCAACAACTTTGGCCAGCGAACGGGCAACTTTCAGGGCAACTATGCCAATAGTTATAATAACCAGGATCAGGTTGGTGGCAATTTTGGCGGAGGTGGATCTGGAGGAGGCAACACAGGCAGAGATAACTTTGCCAACCGCGGACCTGACAACTTTGGCAACAACAACAATGGCAACTTCAATAACACCAACAATCGCCGCCAGAGCAATCGCTGGGATAACAATCGCAACCAGGGAATGCAGGGATACTCGGATGAGAGGGGAGGCGGCGGCGGAGGAGGAGGATCAGGATCAGGCAATGATTCTGGTCCAGGAAATTTCAACCAGAATCGCGGCAATTTTAATCAGCGCAACAATTTCAATCAGCCGTCACAAAAACAGCAGCAGCAGTCGTCTCAGAATCAACCGCCGCAGCAACAAAACCGCAACCAACAGCAGGCTCCCGATCTGGATGAAGCCAGCTTCGATCGCCTGTTCGACCAGTGGGAGCAGCAGTTCGAGGACTGGAAGCGGGCCAACGCCAATCATCCGGATCGCGATGAGTATCGGCGCTACGAGGAGGAGTTCGAGAAGCAGCGTCGTCGCATTGCCGAGCGCAGGGAGCAGATGCGGCGACGTCGTCAGCAGCAGATGGCTAGTGCTGGTGGTGGTGTCTCTGGAGGATTACCCACCGACTCTATGCCAAAAGAAGGGGGCATGGCCAAGACAGGGCAGGAGGAGGATGAGGAGGAGGATGATTTGGAGGAGCAGGAGCCAAAGGAAACATTCGGTGGTGGTCCAAATTTCGCCAAACAGGTATCCAATTTTAGCCACCAAGGCAACAGACAACACGGACATCCTGGCCACTTTGCGAATGAGAATCGTGGCTTCAACAAGGGACCGCCCCCACAGGGAATGCAGAATCAATACCAAACCGCCCAGCAAGCTATACAGGAGATGCCTGCCATGGACAAGCCAGTCCAGGAGCAGCCAGCCAAGCCAGTTGCTCCTCCAGCTCCCCCGGTAGCACCGCCATCCCTGCCGCCGCCCGATGTTGCCGTTGCCGCTCCCGTTGCCGTTGCCCCAATGGTTGTGCCCGCTCCGCCAGTGGCGCCGCCAACGCAGCCACCTCCGATCTCCAGCAATCTCGGCAAGCGCCGACAAACAAGTGTGGCTGCAGCTGTGCCCACAGCCGCCAAGCAGGTGAAAGAGGAGGAGCCCATATTCACCATTTCCCTGGACGACGACGATGACGATGAAGAGGACGAGGACAATGAGCCGCCGGCGTTGGACACACCCATGGGAAGCATCTTCAAGAAGAGCGATGGCATACCGGGTCTGGACTTGGTGGCCGATGGCACCGACGGCAAGAATCCGTCCTCGGTCTTCGATGTGGGCTCCGACCAGGCAGTGGAGAGTAGTAGTCAGCCTACAGGCCCCCATGCCGCCAGCAAGACCAACGAAACTCTGAGCAATGTGCTCAAAGATCCCAACTTCTTCAACAATCTCACCCAGGCGGTGGCCAATGTTCAGGAGCGCGAGCAGCGCGATCGCCAGCAACGGGAGGTTAGGGATCAGGATCAGGAGCAGCAGCAGCAACAGCAGCAGCAGTCGACAGATCAGGAAACTGGAGCAGATGGACGACCCTTGTCCTTCGCCGAGTGGCAGCGCAAGAAGAATGGCGGCAACGACGGCAAATCGCAGGATTCTCATGGCACCCACAGTCCCAGTGGCAGTGAGCCGGCGGAGCATGGTGGACAGGCTATGAATCAAGGTGGACCTGGTGCGGGTCCGGGTCCCAACTCACGCGGTCCCAACGATGGACCGCCAACGTCGCGGTTTGACAACTTTGGACCGAATCAAGTGCCTGGCAACAACTTCGTTGACTTCGATGGCAACAATGGCCCCGGTCCCGGTTTCTATCCGCCTGGCCGGAACTTTGGACCACGTGGCCCCAACTTTGGACCCAACTTTGGACCCAATTTTGGCCCCGGCCCGGGACCGCATTTCGGACCCAATGGACCGTATTTCGGGCCGGGACCAGGCAACTTCCGGCATAATGGCCCCAATTTTGGGCCCAACTTTGGACCGAACTATGGGCCGCGTAACTTTGGACCTCGCGGACCCGGCGGCGGTCCCTTTGGTCCACCGCGACGCGATGACTTTGGTGGGCCACCACCTTTTGGCGGTCCAGGCGGACCTGGCCCCAACTTTGGCCCAGGCAATGGACCCAATGGCCCAAGGGGATTCAATAATAATGGCGGCAACGGCGGTGGACCCAGCAGTGATAATCCCTTCCGCCGGCAGGGTGGACCTCCAGGTGGCCCCGGTTTCGACGACGATGGCCTGGGCGCACCGCCACCACGAGGTGGCCCCAGGAATTTCCAACAACGCAACAGCTTTGGTGGTGGTGGGAATCCAGGAGGACCCAACATGAACAACCGGAAAAACTGGAATGACGGGTATGTGTCCTAAATCCTTTTCTAAGTTTTATTTGACTTGATTAACTCGTTTTTTAAAACATATTAAACTATAGTATATATACGTATATAGAACGTTGTCTTGACAAAAAAATATTGGGGGAAAGGGGGGAGAAGGCGCTTTCCCCCTTTTCAACTCTTTTTGCTACAAACCCAAAATCAATAGTCTGATTGTCAAAAAAAAAAAAAAAAAAAAGAAGTGGTTACATTATCTTTTCTAGATTTCCCCTGATTTGAGGCTCGTATTATCTGCATAGATTATATTATTTCATATGTACTTGTGGGCAAAGTTAATTGAGGGCTGCATGATTGACAAGTTAGCTTTAAAAGACTTCTTAATTAAATGTTTTGATAAATTGCAGTTGCTATTTGAATTTATAGTTCATGTTTTTAGTGTTAAAATTTATAAAATACACCCAGACAAAGAGGGAAATCGCACAAGTTTCTATAAATTTTTATAAATTTAATGAATTTGTTGTCCGAGGTTACTAAATATTGTGGGGGTTCGGTTTCATATAAATTACCAAAATATTTTATATGTTCTTATTGAGAAGAATATATCCGAAAATTATGTCCGTTTAAAACCGATTAAAATTCAGAAATAAACTATATCTGTTGTTTTTGAACAAAATACCATTGAGAGTTAATTCGCTCAACCCCCCCCTTTCCCACACTTTGTCCCTTTTTGCTCTATCTGTATTGATATCATCCAATTTTATGTAGTTAAATTGCGATAGGCCTTTTTTCTAGTTATCGTTAATGCTGGAATTTCGATTCCAACCCCGTTTCTCTTCTTCTCTTCTACTTCTATATACTGAAATACTGAAAAAATACTCAAATATAAATGTCAAAAAAAAAAAAAAAAAAAAAAAACACACAAAAACGAATTTGTTACCGCTGGTATTGATTGCTATATACACACTCACCGATCTCTGTCTGATCTGATCCATTGTCTGAGCAGCAAGAAAAAGGGCGGTAAAAACCAACAGCAACAACAGCAGCAGCGCAGGAACTGAGCTCTGAACTCTTAAAATCGGGATTAGATAATTAGGGGCGGCTATCGAAAGGGCAGATCATAGCCCCCCCCCTAAAAAAGATATATATATATCTGATCGCAGAGTCCAGACGCCAGACAAAGGCCTACATTTAGGTATTAAGGATAAACACATCTGCAAACATCCACAGATCACGAATATGAAAAACAATATGTACTGAGAATAATTTTGCTGCTCGAAATCTGAAATTATTTATTCTCTTTTTTTTGCTTGCTGTGCAACAACACACGAAAATAGCCCGAGTCATGGATTCATTACTTTGTTTTTAATTTTTAGTAGTTTAAAACTTGACGCAGTTAAATAATTTTTCGTAGTTCCAATCCATTTTATTGAAAGCAAACATTTGGGGTCGTTTTCTCAATGTCAGGTTAAGCTTGGACATTTGATCTGACTAAAACCTCTTAACTAGAGGCAGTGTTCTAGTTAAAGTTTGTCAGTTGACGAAACACAAAATAGAAAAGAAGTGTTTTATTGCTTTTCTATTTCAAGCCGAGAAATATTTGTAGGCCTTAACATGACATTGAGAAATCGGTCCCAAGTCTCGCACAGTGGAATATGTAATTCTTTTATTGCGCGAAGCTATATAAATCGTATATGTTAAATATATACTATGGAATAAATATCAATAAAGGAAGATAAAACAAAAGGATTGTTATTGGGGGACCAACATGTTGCAAAAGCCCAGTAGATCGGTCCGAATTTGGTAAATAGTCCGTCTGTTTTGAAATTTTGGCTATGCCGCACTCTATCCTTATAATATTTCCGATTGCTAAACAACAAGGTTCTGGTTTAGTTTTAAGTATAGCTATTATACTCTTATGTGAAAGGCGTTCGGTCTTAAGCTCTCTGTTCAACTGCCGAAAAACTCGACAAAGTTTTTACATTTGTTACTGTTATGGTTTTTCGTTTACCGATTTGATTGGGGTCTTTTATAATAATAAGAAATTCACTTGATGATGTTTTGATTACAAGTATAAGCCGTCTGCTTTTGGTTCTGTCCGCTTCTATTTTTCCGATTTTCGGAACTGTATAAATCTTAAAAATTACAAGGAAATTAGAAATTAACTGAAATGCTGTAATATTTTTAATTATTAAATTAGGTTTTTGTCCGATATATGTCTATTATCAATATTTGCTGACTTTCATTAAATCAAGAAACCACCTTTTACAAATTTTCCTAGTAACCAAACTTATGTTTGTGGTCTGTTGTCAATGCTTAAACTTATAAATTAAATAAATGTATAAAATTTTATATGATAACCTATTTATTTAGCAATTTACAAGAAAATATACTAAGATTACTTTTAGGTTTTGTCCGTTTACTTATTAAACTTTCCTGGTTATTCCGTCACCCAAATAAAGCCCACGTCGTCCGATTTGTTTAAGCTTTGAATAAGCTTATGCCAAAATAATAATGGTGCAATTTTTCAAAAAACATATTTTTAACCTTCCCTTGGGAAGGTATTTATAAGCAATGCAGTTCTGTCTAGTCTAAGTTTAGGGCCAAATAGTTTACGTATCTATATTTGCTCGCCTGCATTTTTTTGGGCGGTGGGACATGTAGATTGCGCACCCGTCCTTCCGTCCCCTGCCACGCCCCCTATCTTTAAACAAACCACAACTATTTTAGTATATTTCAACCCAAGTAAAAGTTCAAGTGTTTTTCTTTTGGTTTTTAAAAAAAAAACATTAAAAACCTCTAAAAAAAAAAACAAAAAAACGAAAAATTTAAAAATATAAATAAAACAAAAAAACAACTCCTAAACAATGCCACAAAAATAAAACCGACGAATGTAACCAACCAATTGTATACGTAAATCGCCACTGGTGTGCACCACCCACCCAACTTACATCATCTCAAAAAAAAAAAAAAAAAACCATAAAGGCCGGAGCAACTGCAGCAACAACAACCATTCCCCAACAAAAGCAATCAACAGCCCATATATCGACCGATGAAGGTGTTCGACTATTCCAATAACACGACAACAGCCGCCAAGGTGATCGATTATGGCCACAAGTCGGGCGATGGTAACCCCATCGATGGGCCTTCCGGCGGTCCGTCTCCCACCGACAGAATGCCGGAATACAGACCCATGAAGACCTTCGAGTATGGCCACGCCTCGTTTTCGGCACCAAATCGCATGGGAATGCAAGGAGGAATGGGAATCGGACAAGGAGGAGGAGGTGGAGGAGGAGGAATGCCTGGAGGATTTGGAGGGCCTAGTGGGCCAGGTGCTACCAATAACAAGCGAAAAAATAAAAGAAAGAATAAACAGCTTAAGAGGGAGGAGCGAATGCAGTTCCATCAAAATCGACAGCTCCAATCAGTTACGGTTAACGAAAGCGGGTCAACAAATCCCGAACAGGATGAGGTAAGTGGTGGTCAGCCAAAATAAAGTCGAGGCTTAAATCCTGTTTACGATCTTTCCCAGCAGCAACAGCAGCAGGAGCAGATGCACGCAGATTTACAGGATCAGTGCGATGAGGGCACAGCAAATGAACCCAATGATCTGGAGGATATTTCCGATGGTGAAGAGTAAGTCAAGTAACAGATTGAAATGCATTAAACGTTTTACAGGCTGGATGTAAACGATACTGCCGCTGCATCGTTTACAACGAGCTTTGAGATATTTTATTTTTTTTATAATTTAACTTATTATTCTTTTCGTTTATTATTAGTAGAATAACAAATTAAAATGTATTAAACGCTTTACTGGCTGGTTGTAAACGATGCAGCGGCAGACTTGTACAATACGGTCGCTGCATCGTTTTTAACGAGCTTAAAGATCTTTATAACTCATTTAAATTATTATTCTTTTAATTTATCATTAGTGGAAAAATAGATTTAAATGGTTACAGGATGGCTATAAACGATACAGCGGTAGCCTTGTATAATACACTTTTTAACCAGTTTTAAGTCCTTGGAAAAAATCAATAAACTGATTGTCCTATTCATTTATTCATTATTAGTAATCTAACGCCACTGGACTGCGATGACGACGACGAAGAGCTCCCACCGCCACCTTCGATGAGCAGATGGAATCAGGGAAATTTGCAGCCGCAGTTAAATCCACCAAATCAGGCTAAATTCTTTACCGCAAACCGCGACAGATTGGTCCCGGCGCCACCAACCCTGTCGCTATTCCCCTCGGCAGCCATTGCCAATGAGCAACTTCCCAGCCCAGTGACGGCTAGCCATCTGGAGATGACCGTGCCAACCAATGAGAACCGCAATACCATTTCCGTGGACGATGTGCTCTTGAATCCCGGCCGCATGACCCGTCCCAAGCGCATCTGCATCATTTTGCGAGGACCTCCTGGCTGCGGCAAATCGCACGTGGCTCGTCTCATCAAGGAAAAGGAGCTGGAGATGGGTGGCGCCAATCCGCGCATCCTCAGCATCGATGACTATTTCATCATCGAGAACGATTACGAGGAGAAGTGTCCCAAAACGGGCAAAAAGGTGAGAGCTGTTCAAACCTTCAGTGTTTGTGCATTGTCCGGCCGTCAAAGAATTATATATCTTATAACTTTTTTTTTTATTTATTAGCTTAGATAAAAGCTGAAATACTTTGAATTGAGTTAAATGTATTACATATATCATCCATTATGAATCAATTTGAATGAATTTATTTTTTTTAACTATCTTGTCCGTTAATTTGTCCGTAAACTCTTTTGTCCGATAAACAAGTAACAAACCAAAGTGCTTTTCATGCAGTTAAATGTTAAATGTGCTTTGATATAAAATATATATCATCCATAATTTATACATTTTAATGAATTTATTTTTTTTTTTGACAAACTTTAACTTTAAGACAAATATAAAATTAAAACAAAAATGCTTAGCATGTTTAATGTAAAATTTATAAATTTTATGATTTAAAAACTATGTTGTCCGTTAATTTGTCCGTCAATTATATTATTTCTAAGTTTATATCAATAAGTAAAAAAATTACATTTTTCGTTAGTATAAAAAACAATTACCATTAACTGATATAGTTAATTTAAAACTAAATCGAATACTTCTTGCAGATACCCAAAAAAGAGATTCTGTATGAGTACGATGATAGCATGGAGGAGACCTACATGCAATATCTTATCAAATCGTTCAAGAAGACGCTCAGCGATAATCTGTACGATTTTATAATAGTGGACTGCAACAACAATTCGTTGCGCACGCTGAATGAATTTTATTGCCACGCCAAAGATTCCAATTTTGTGGTGGGTTTACAGTCGACAAACTACTAGTGTTTATTGCAAGGATTATTATATAAACGTTTTCTGTGTTTATTAAAGCCCTACATCGTGGACTTGCACTGCGATCTGGAGACGTGCCTGGGTAGGAACTCGCATCAGCGCAGCGAGGATGAGATTCGCGTGGTGCTGGACAACTGGTGCAATACGCCGCTGCAGTACATCAAACTGGACGTGAGCTCGCTGCTCGAGAACGTGGTCGAGATGGAAGATGTTGAGGACATGGCTACGGTAACTATGCAGCACTAAGGCGGTGGTGCGATGAAAATTCACCCGCGATCAGGATCTCAGCAGCTGGTGGGGGCTTTCGGGCAGAACCGAAAAACTCTAGTCAAGATTACCATAGTTTTTAAGAAGGAACGCAACCTGGCCAGGCCAAGTTCTTTCACAACAAACTGAAAAAAAGAAAAGAAAACGCTAGTTCAAATTCAAAACGATAGCGATATCTGCAATCCTAGACTAAGTTTCTTCACATAGAACCGAATCCATATATATATGGGATATATATTCCAAAACCCCATTTATGACATGCAATAAATATGCGCAATTGTAGCCTTAACCATACGTTTAAGCTCATAGTAAAGGCAACTCGGCTGCTCAAGCTGCTCGAAGAAGCGAACGTTTTGTTGATTTATGGCGGCTTCGTTTCACTTTCAGGACGACAATGCCTGTGCCGACGATGGGGTCACAGCAGGACCATCAGCATCCGCATCATCATTGGCATCCGCATCCGAGGATGCAATTGCCGAGGAGACGGACGACAGTAACAGCGCCGACGCGTCCAACGATGTAAGTGTTACCACGTAATTGCATTGCATCGACTGATTGGATTCATTTTGCGACATATGTGCGAGGCAAATGGGTTTACAATTGCATTACCCAGCTTGTTTGCGCATATAATATGGGAGTTTTCATGTCCAATTTGTTGTACAAATATCGTTTAAATTTTAATTAGAATTTAATATGTGTTCAAAGTTCTTTTCTTTCTTTGTTTTCTGCTTTAACTTGGTTTTCTTTCTATGTCTAATTTGTAAAACACAAATATCGTAGCATTTGAAATATGAATTACAACTGAAATTCCTACATTTGTTCGATGTTAGCTGTGATATGTTATTGTATTTCTTTAAAATTGTGTCCTTCCTAACTTATATTAATATTATTTGGGCAAGTATGCCAATTCTTAGACATCTGTATTGTTAAATTAATTTCTAAACGTATTTTTTTAACTTGTATTTTTCTTTTTGGTACTTATATATCAATTTACTCTAGTGCTATTCTTTTAAAAGCATACCTTTCCTAACATTTAAACATAATTAAAGTATTTACTGTCTACTCACAAATGTAAAATTTGACATTTACATTTTTATCGAATTGATTTTTATTTAACCTTATCTAATATCAACACTAAGTACTTGTGTTCGGAAAGATACACATTTTTATTTCACTAAAATGTAGTAAAAACCGAATATTAGTCAAAGTAATTGATCATTTATATGAATAAGTGCTTTTTAACACCAATAAGTTTGTAGCCAAGTCATATTTTTGGCCCAAAATTGATCCAGTCAGTCAGCAAAAACGTAGAAACATAGAAACGTAGAAACGGGGAATCGGTGGCTGTTTTGGGGCTATGGCCTATGGTCTGGGCTTGGTGTCGGTGTAAATACTCCTCTAAATTGATCCTGAAATTCTCCCATTGCACTATGTTTAATCCGGCTCCTCCTCCCGAATCGTGCGCGTTTCGCGTCCTCCACGTGCAGTGCGGCTTCCTGAAAAGCAAATGGGAATGTGACCACACCGAGGCCAATTTGGGTGAGTCCTTTGTCAGCTTGACCCTTGTCTGGCCCAACCGAATTAATCTAAATCCTCAATTTCAGCCCGCTTGGATGGCACCAAGCGTCTGATGCAGAACCGCAGGACGGCAAGCATGGCCGACTATCTCCAGCTGGAGGATTGGGAACCGCCCAGAACCTCGGCCAATGGCAAAAAGCGAGTGAGTACCTAATAAGTGATTGGATAAAGTGCAGTTATTGGGAGCACGTTTCTTGATAACAGGGGTCGAGAAATAGCGCTACTCTATAAAGTATAAGTATAAGTATTAATTCCATACTAAATAATATAACCCCTATACTTTTTAGTTTCATTTCTATACCAAAGAGCCTTAAACCACAAGTTTTATTTTAATACTTTTGTTAATTTATTTTAACTCATCTTATTGAGAATTTTTAAAATTCATGTAGCAACAGTTTAGTTTCTATGAAAATTATTTCTTGGGTTTAGTAAATAAACACAGAATATAGCATTTCCTACTTGAAATAGAAGAAGATAGCAGGCTTTATAGCTCTCTCTTTTGTTTATCTTTACAAAAATCTTTTTTTTAAATATCAATGTCATTTGGCCCTTAATTTTTGCTCATGTAATATATGTGCAAAATTGGTATTTAAAAGTATATTTTTTTTTTTTATTTCTTAATTTCATTTAATTTAAGTAATTTAAGTAAATTTAAATTCGTTGAACTATAAGGTAAGATATATTTTAAGGTAAGGTAAGGTAAGCAAATCAGTCTACAATAAATGAGCCCTAGGAACCAAGCGTTATTTTCGACCCCACGAAACGTTTCTTGAGGGCACTTTTCCCATCCAAAAATTTTAAACTAAAACCTCTTTATTCCATTTCAGGTTCGTTGGGCTGACATCGAGGAGAAGCGGTCGCAGGAGAAGATGCGCGCCATCGGCTTCGTGGTGGGCCAGACCGACTGGAACCGCATGATGGATCCCAATGCGGGCAGTCGGGCCCTGAATAGAACCAAATACATTGAGCGCATCAAACGCCGCTAGGTGGCAATCACAATTACAGCCACGCAACTGGCCCAGAAGCTCACAGCATTTGCACTAACCACTAACAACCAACCACCAACCACCAAAACACGGATTACATTCCCACATGGGGATCACCATCCGATTTCAATAGGCTCAAAGGAAACCCCGAATTACGATTAATTATCATTCATCATTAATCATCAATCATCAATCATCCCAATGCAATCAGTATAATTTCGCAACAATCAGTCATTTGTAGTAATGCATTTACGAAACGAATTCAATTTCGTCGATCTGATCACACACGAACATCCGCAACTACTATCCTAAATCATACTAAACAAATAGAATAAATACGGATCTATTTTAAAAAATGTATATAATATGAAATTATATCCAACGATTTTTTTTAGATTGACGAAATATAAATGAAATGTATATTGACATGTTTCTTTTTTTTTTTTTTTGTATAAGTTGGCGGTTTGGGGTCATCGAACTCTGTACTGTTCTGTAAACAACCATTGACAGCTGTTCGCTTTGGTGGAGGTGGGCGTGGTCGAGTGGGTGGTTCAGGGTGGTAAATGGGATGCTGTGTGCATCGCATGTGTGTTCTCACATGCTTGCCAAGGTGAATTACAGATGACGGCTTCAGGCAGAGTTGCACAACATCATCATGGATTTTCGGGGGTGGGGTGGGGGTTGTATCGACAGGGGGGTGGATGAGGGGGAGTTGGATCGGGAGGAACACCACCAAGTAACCAATGGCTCGCACTTTCGAGCACACAAACCCATTGACAGTCAGTGCTGACTGAAGTTGAAATTAATAGCTAAATACCATTTTGAAATGCTATTAAAAATATAACTATTAATACAAATATTCATATAAATTCTCGTTAATCCAATGATTTTCGAAATAACAATTTATCCTTAAAGCATTTTAACAAAAAAAAAAAAAAGAAATATTTTGCAAGTGGTTAGTATGTAAAAAAGTGAACTAAAAAATAAACGAGCTTTCTTAATAACAAACCACTTTTATTTATTACTTTTATTTTTTTTTGTGCTTTCTTACCTCAATAGGGTTATAGTTATTATTTTTATAATTGAATTGTTCATTTTTAGCTCTTATTAATGAAAAAAATGCATTTCTATTATAAAGAACGTCGATTTTTTAATTTTTGTTGCATTTGCTTCTTCTTTTTATATTGTATTACTCTTTCAGGTGTCTAAAAAGTGTGCTATGTGAATGTAATATTTATTTCTTACTCTTGAGATTTGTAATCACTTTAGAAAAGTCTCTTAAAATGTGCTAAGTAAAAGATAATGCATTATACATTGAATTTAATATTTATATTACAAAATTCTTTAGCCTTATTGATTTAAATCTCTGGGAAATTTCCGGTAGTTCGTTTACTTTTTTTTCTACTTCTTGGTGCTGCAAAAATGGCCAGATCTGGCGCTTAAATAGCCGATGGCGAAACTCTGGCAGGCCATTTTCCGATTTTCCGAGTCCCTGGCACGAAGTGGAAATTCCAAACAGCGCTTTAGTTTCAGTTTTAGTCGAGCAACGCAACTCGAACGCAACGGTACATGGGCGGTGCATGGCGAACAGTACTCAGTGCCCCCGATAACAATAGCTTTCTCCGAACACCGAACTGCAGTTAAATTAAATAAATAAAATTATATTTTTTTCAAGTTCAAATACATACAGAGTAAAAGTTGCCTAAATATTTATTATAACAACAATAATAAGTAGTGCTTAAATTCCCGAAAATCAGCAGCCGTATTTTGAAATTACGTCAAAAGGAGTCGCGAAAGAAGAAGAGCCAGAGGAGAGAGGAGAAGACGAAGACAAAGAGGCAGAGGCAGAGAAAAGGAGAGAGCCGAAAAGAAGAACAATAACAACCAAGCGAACGCACGCGATAGGAGTAACTGTAAATGTGAAAGGATAAAATAGGAGAAACCCGAAATCAGCGAAAGGACTTTTTTTTTTGGTTGGTTTTTGTTTTTGGCGCGTCGTCGCCGTTTTGCCTTTTGTTTTTATTATTTTTGCCGTTCGTTCGTGTGCCCTTGTTGATTGCTTTGCAGCCGGCTTTGGCCAACAACAACAACAACAAAAAAGAAAAGGAAAGAAAAGAGAGAGAGGGTGAGGGAGAGAGAGAGAGGGGGTGCAAGCAAGAGGGCGATACCTAACCACTAGGCTACCAAGCAGCTAGAGCTTATGTAAAGCGTGCTATGGAAGCATGTCGTCCACTTCCAGCTCCGTGCTAACGTTGTCGTCGTTTAATCTATTATTTTTCACCCAAGGTAAGCACTTGACACTTTACATAACTCCCCCCATTTCGGATCCATTCCAATTACAGTCCGATTGGGATTAATGTGTGTCCAGTTGGCTGGCTGACCCAATTGGAGCCCAGTTGGGATGTCACCTTCATTTTGACTTATGAGGGTAAATTTTGATGGCTTTCGCAGAGATCTCTGCGAAATGTTTAAATTATGATTAAACTTTGTTGGTAATTTGGATAAATTAAGGGATTTATTTGCGTACTCAAATAGGAGGAACAGGACCGGCTTTATAATGTCATTAAATATTTAAATTGACAGTATTTCACAGTGTCTAAAATCCGAAAAAGTATCAAAATGTATTTCCTAAATTTAATTATTTTTTTAAGGTTCAGAGTGTTCAAATCTGGAGTGAAATAAATAGTTATTTTTAAATTTAATAAATTGTAGACACCTTAAAGGTTGCTTTAAACTAAACACTTTTGGACATACTTTAAGCATTATTTAGAGATTAAACTAAGACCGTTAGAGATTTAGTAGAACCATATTACAAAGTAAAGTTTTCTTTTTCTTTCTGTTCTGCAATTAAAGAAATTTTGCAATCAGTTAAAGTTGGTTATTTCAGCAGCTGTTTTTAGCTTCCGTTGATTTGCCATGAATCTGTGCACAGATTGTGCCATCCACAGTCGCACAAGATAATAAATCTCAGTCAAAATGCCCCAAGCTTGGGCTCAATCCTAACCCCGCAGGTCCCAAATAAATCCCAGTCCATTTAAGCACACCCACCAAAGCGGCCTGACCAACTTGATTTGCATGCAAATTGCGTATAAATCCTTGAATTGTTGCTGCAACAGCGCAACCTCAGCGAAGAACGCCTCTCGATTACAAAAAAAAAAAAAAAGAAAATGGGGCAGTTGACAGTTGGCAGACTCATTATTTGGTAATAGCCGCTAGTCGCTTAAAATGTTTGCTTTTAATTAAAACAAATGGCGGTAATGTTTGCCAAGACAAAAATCCCACAGCTGTTTATTTGGGCAAATTGATTTTTTTGAATTAATTGTCGAGATAGAGAGTGTGTGTTTTGCGGCAACCAATTTGCAAACTTTTCAGCAAATTAAAGAGCCAAGGAGATCGGGTGGCTGCCGTCAAGGACATGGCGCCAAGAAACAACCTAGCCTAACCCAACCTAACCCTCCAATCAAAGTGAATTTCCCACTGTTGTTGACCCAACACTGCGGTTTTCAGCACTTCGACACTCAGCAGCAGCGCCGAGAAAAGCGAAAAACATGCAACAAGAGCACTGTCACTATTTTTAGAAGGTGCAATTAGAAGGGTCGCCAACTGTTGGGACTGTTGGGCAAAGTCGAAGTACCAAATGCCCTATTCTCTTTTATTCAAAATGAGAGCTTTTAAAGAGCTCTAAAAAACATAGTTAAAGCACCTAAAAGTGTGCACTTAAATAATTGAGGTTTTTATAAAAATACAAAGCGTAGATTTGCCTAAAAATCTTAATCAATATAATATATGTATTTTTTCTTAGCATACTTTAAGGGAATTTTTCAAACACTTTCAAACGTTCAGAAATTTTTAAGACACTCTCTATACATACAATGTTATTTTTGATAGGTTTTTCCGAAAACCCTCGTGTTGGCGAAGGGTATGAAAAGACAATGCTTGTAAAGTGTGGTTTGTTGGGGGCCGATTTTCAATGTCAATGCCAAAAATATAAAAGGACGAGTGTGGCACACACATTCACCCAAGCCTGTGCCCATCCACTTATTCACTTACTCACACACATACTTTATTGGGGTTTGTGTGTGAATTTGATTTTGCATTGATTTTCCACTTGGTTGCTTGCTTTCGAAAAACTAAAAGGAGCGCCAGCACAATATTTGATTATTTTCGTTTGGTCCTGATCTAATTGCACACACACACACACACACAGCACACATCAAGCCCCCAGAAATAGGCAATAAAGAAATGCATTTTGCAATTATGCCAACCGAATGGAACCAGAAGTACTGGGCGACTACAACAACAAGTTCAACAAGTGGGCGGGATTGGCGATGGGCGGGAATGTCATTACGAAGCAGGTCCTGTTCCCTGTCCCATGTCCTTTAAGAACCACCCACCACCCCCCTTGGTCACCCTTCATCTGCTGGCTGGTTTCTCCTGCAAAACAAATAAAATGCGAAATGAGAATTGCCGTAGAATGGTTACAGTGGGTTGAAGTGGTTGAAACAAAAAATACAATTCATAAACAAAAACTATTAGGTTTACAAAAGCAATTAATCATCGAATTAATTTACTTTAATTATTCGGCTATCTAACTACACTTAAACAAAACAGATTATGTAAACCTTTTGACGAAATATTTACACTAGGAACTTTAACCACAAATATGGAATATATTTTTAAATTTTGAATTTATTTTGAACGATTAAATATAGTATAGTTTGATTGGTGTTACAACATGATTTCCATTTCAGTCCGTACTTTAAAAAAACAAATATCTTTTAACATTCAAAAAATATATATATAGCTTAATGGGTAATTATTATGATTTCTATATCAGTTTGATCAGTCTTATCAATCTTATAAATTAAAAAAAATTCTTTTTCCATTAATTGTTGTTATACTCCATTTGTGTCTGCTTTTCGACCACTGTGCTGTGTAGAAAAAGCCGAGTTGAGCCAGAGGCTGGATTAGCTCTTGTCGTGACCTCGTGGCCCGTTGGCATGCAAAATGCAACTAATTATGAATTTTAATTAATCCTGGCATTTTATTTTGTTGGCTGTGCAGAATTTCTGCCCGTTGGCAATAATAATAATAAAGTGACTCGGGGTATTGCAGTGAAAGTCTTCAGACTTTTCCCGGTTGGCCAAGGAAAAAAGGAAATTTATAAAACAAGCTGGAAATAAAAGTTAAATGGGGAAGCGGAAAGCAAGAACACTGAATGCACTCTTTTGTTCAGCTCTCGGTTGAGTTTTTCGCATTTCCCCTATTCCGCAGTCAAGTGTCTGCCTTTCAGTTGTTTCTGTCGTTTGATTGGGCCGTATTCGTGCCATTTTGACCATGGGGGATCGCATTTCACTTTGACCATTGAAGAATGCCACGTCCACCAAGGAAATGTTTTTATTTTTCAATGCAAACTTTTTTAGAAGGCAAGGAATGTAAAGTCCTTAGAAAGGCATCTCGTTTCGGTAATGACTTTTAGCATAGAATTTAACTAACCGCAGCAAAGCAAATTCCTTTCGTTAGTTTTAAGTTTCTTTTAGCTGAAACTTATTGCAAATAGGATTACATTCGGTGGTATTTTAGCTGATTCAATTTGAGGTTTCTCTGGAAAGCTTAGCTGTGATTAAAAAGAGTGGTTGTTTTTGGTTGTTTGATGATAAATTTATTCTTCGTGTATTTTTTTATTGCTTTCATTGCTAATACTTAATTTTTTTCTATGAATATGAAAATTTATTCTTTGTATATTTACTATTTTTAAGATATTGAAATTTCCAAAAAATTAGCTTGTATTCAAATAAGTATTGATTTCTTTGTTTATTATACTTTTATTCTTTGTTTATTTTCATTTAATTATATTAAAATTTAATAATAAATTAGCTAAGTTTCAAATAATTATTGCTCTCTTGTCTTAAGATAAATTTATTCTTTTTGATTATTTTATTTGTTGTTATTTGCCTAGTTCATACCTTTACCCTATTATTTGTTTTCGATTTGATTGTATTCCAGTTTTTTGTAAAGCCATTTATTTTATTATTTTGTTGTGCCAGCAGAATAATCGCATAGTCTGCTTTTGAGGGCAACAGCTGCAGCTGACATTTGTGTCCCCATCTTAACCCCTTAACCCCTTATGCCCCGAGCCCCTATGCTTAACCCCTGTGGTGCACACATATGCCGGCAAGCTTTATGAAATACCAATTTAATGGTCTTGTGGCTTAAACTGCATTTTGTCAGTTTCCCATTTCCCATTTCCTCTTTACCCTTCTATCCCACATTTGCTGTCTCTGCTGGAATCGATGGACATTCTGTGGTCGTTCTAAGCCAAATGCATTATTAAGTTCCATAAAAATGTCAGGGCTGTCGCATAAGTACACACAGCCAAAGATTTACACACATTAGAAACAACAAAAGAAGGAATTAAATACAAAACCAAGTTTTTTAATAAATAGCTCAATGAAATTCGTTTAAATACATATATATAAGGTAAAAATATTTACCAAAATAAAAGGGTTTTATCAAATAGTTCAATAAAGTTCGTTTTACTGTTTTAAACAAATATAGCTAAAATAAAATGTATGCTTAGAAAATAATCACTTTAATATATCGAATAAATTTGTTTAGCTTAAAATTTTAGAGAAAAATATTTAACTTACTTAAATATAATTTAACTATTTCCTAAAAAATAAATTAACTGCTTGTTAAATTAAATTACCAAGTTGCGAGTTATAGCCGTTTGCCATGTTGTTAAATGTATTCCCATACACTGTGTTGTATAATAAAATGTAGGCTTGGAAATAATCACTTTAATATTCAGAAAAATTATATTTATTATACCACTATTATATTTTCTAAAAAAAAATGGACATGTAATAAATACCATTACCAAGTTTCGAGTGATATTTTTTGCCGTGTTGCCAAATGTATTCCCATCCACAATGTTGTTGTTTATTTTAACCAATGTGTTGAGGGCTCTGGAGTGTGCGTTTTTTTTTTTTTTATTTTTTTGTCGCGTTTCCCGGTGACACGAATTGCAATCGACACTCGCTGGGGGAGTAATAAATATTGCAACACCCAATTCCACTCAAAACTGGCGGATTTTCCCATTTCCCAGGATAGTATTTTCCAGGACAGGACAGGTTTTGCGGGCACACTTCATTAGCCGAAGTGAAATCAATCGAATTGGCTTCGGTCTACTGTATTCCATTATTCACCAGTCACGCACCTTTGTGTGCTGTTCCCAGCCTCAATGTCAGTCCACAAATGAACACGTGAGCAATGCGAATAGCTTTTGAGTATGCAAACCGAATTAGTTGCTTAACAATTGGATAAACATCTAGTGAGGTAAATAACATGGGATAACTTTTAGGGGAAAAGTTGGTGGAATTACAGGCAAGTCAGTTTCAGCAATTTGATTTGCTTTGTTTGATTATATATTACTCCATAGAAAGTGCTTTCTTTTATTTAATAGCAATGTATTGCTTGTTATTATACATAAAATACTTAGCTATAAGGATTTAAATATATGTAATAACATATTTTATACATTTTATTTTTTTATACAAAAAGGACAAATGTAAATATTAAAATACGTTTTAAATGCACTGTTAATTGAGGCAGAAAATTTGATGTGCAAATAAAAGAGATGCGGCTAAAGGGTAAAATTTTATGCGTGAATGATTGCTCACCCCTTTGAAGTTGACATGCTTTTTATTCAATTTAAATTCAGAGTCAGAGCTCTTCAAAAAAAAACCTGGATATGGATACATTTCTTGCACAGATGCTAAAGTGGGTGCTTGAAAAGTTTGCCCCTTGAACCCTAAAACTCTGCCTTTGGCCATTCAGTTTCGATCTCCCAGCTGGGTGCCATCAGCAAAACTTTTTTGTTTCGCCGCTTGTTGCTTCTGGCTTCAATCGCCGAACAGAGGGGCTTATCCGAGGATATGGCACGTGTACTATAAGCAGGTTAAAGGATATTGCCGGGACCACAAATTATGCAAAATAGCCGCAGCAGGAAAACAAGGAACGTGCTGCGAAGTGGGGAAAATACAGAAAAAAAGAGGGGGGATTCCCACAAGCTTAGGACATAAAAAATTTAATACTCCATCGCAGAACCGTTTCTTTATTTATGACTCTCACTCAATGCACTTTTGAATGGTTAAGCCATTTATTTTACATACATTGTCTTCAAATAATCATTTAAATATAAGAGATAATTAAAGAAAAATGTATTAAAAAATCAATTCTCCATTACAGAACCGTTTCTTTATTTAGGACTCTTACTAAATGCAATTTTAACTTGTTATTTATTTTAAATAACAAAACCTTAAGTAATCATTAAAATATTTAAAATATTTTTATAAAAATTAAAATATGGTTAGCAACATTTAATTTCCAATATTTGATTCTTTAAATACTAAAAAACAACTCTCTTTTTATTTTGAAGTATTTTTTCTAAAAAAATAAAATAGTTGTAACCCTCTTACCTAAAATTTCAATTAGGGAGCAACCAGTGTTTCTTAGGCATTTCCCTTGTTGTAAATAAATAACTACAAAAAAGTGCTGTATAAAAATAATTTCATACAAAAATTAAACAAAATAAATAAATTTAAAACCCTGCAACGAAAAATCGGACTTAGTGAACCCCGACTGTTCCTTAGCCATTTTCCTAGTTTGGCACAAATTGAGGTGAGTGCTTAAATAATTAATTACCGAAAAGCGCAGTTCCATGAAAAGCGTGCTGAAGTGGTGTTGTGGTTGCTTTGGGTTGGTCAACGTGGGAATACAAATAAATACGGGTAATGAGGAAATGTGGAAAAGTGGAAAAAAAAGGGGAAGAAAAACCATCACAAGTCCTTCACTTCTCGCCGTGTTGCTAAACCAATTGGCAAACATTTTTATTTTGTTACATTTCAGTTGCACTTTCTGTTGCTTTCCACTCTGATTTTCCGACTTTTCCCCGGGAAAATAGCAAATGGCTGGTAACTAGGGGTTCCGCATCCGGTTAATAAACAAAAGATGTCGTCGCCCGCCCGTCTGTCTCCTTTTGGGCTTATTTCTCCCCGAATTTCTATGCTTGTTTTTGCCATTGTCTCCGATTTGTTCCCTTCTTGATGGTCGGACTGTTAAATTGCTGGATTGGGTTACGTTTGTTGTGGCTTCTCTGGTTTTCCACTGGCTTTTGATGGCTCTGCTTGGCTGGCTGGTGTTTATGGCAAAATCAATGCAAACCGCGGCGTCTAAAAATAGCCAACTGGCCAAAATGCGTCACGGCTAACATCAGAAAAAGACCCTGGGGCGACCTAATTAAATCGAACCACAATTGATGGCCTGCCCATCGACAAAAGTGAATGATTGAACGGCAGTCCGATTGAGTGACCTTGCACTGTGTGAAATTTCCAAAAAAAAGAGTATACTTTATATACTTAAAGCAAATATTTAAAATAAGGATGCAAATAAAGAATAATATTTGCAGTTTTATTGAATATATTACATATTAAAAAATTTTTAGAATCATGGTGTATAAAATATTGTGAATTTTATGAGGACATTTTTTAACTTTTTATAGTTACATGGCTTTCGTTTTTGTTGAACTTTTTTCATTGCTAATGCCAAAATATTTATTTTTTTTCGGCATAATTAAAGCATTTTTGTTTACCGAACCGAAAAGTTTTTATAAAACATTTTTTGTTGTAAATTGGCCAAATTGATATAATAAAATTAGGTATTTTACATGGCCAATTTATATATATATATATATATATATATATATATATATATATATATTTTTTTTTTTACCGAATCGGATATCATAGATTTTAGTGTTAGTTTTGTGTAAGTTTTGTCTATTCTTATATTATTTATCATTCTATTTGTATCTCCCTGTGTAAATTTAGGCGTCTCCATTGGATTTGTGTTGAAATCAATTAACTGACGTCAGCAAAGGATGGTGCTCTGGGTGGTTTTTCCAAGGGGGTGGTGCATACTTTTCGGCCAGCAGCCTTACATAACCATTACCCCACACATGTGTGTGTGGATGGGATAACTTTTGTTTTCCAACCCATCATCCACCACCCCTGTTTCATTTCTTCAGTTTCCTGCTGGCAGGCGGTGCAAACTTATTATGGCCATTTCTGGCTTGTGCGCAACTTTATCAACATTATGAATGACTGACTGACTTACTTCTGACCCAACTTGGACAAGGTTGAACCTCAAAATTGTTTTTATGTTTTTTTTTATTCGCATGCATAGCATGTACATGTATGTATATGCGGGAAATGTGTTTTCAGTGAATGTTTGTTTGTTTGTCTTGTGCTCGAGACTACCCGCAAAAAATGAGCAACTTTAAAAAAGCAATCTTATTTAGTTCGTGTTGCGGCGAACTTTTCAGATTTCCAGCAAGATAGAAAACTGCAAAATATTACAGCCATTAAAGTTTAATCCATTTTAAGTTAGCCACTCAAGAGAAATTAAAGCTTGTGGTATTTCCATTTTTACTTAGAGTTTTCACTGTTAAAAAATTGGTGTAGTAACATGACATACCTTACCATTGAATTTTACATTTTAAATAATAAATCATAATATTAAATACACTTCATATTAACATATTTTAGTTAATGTGAAAAATATTAGAATAAAAATAGTTCCATTTGATTTAAATGCATTTTATTTCAGTTAAATATGGTTTCAAATCAATTCCAAAAATAGTGAATTGAACTTATTTTTTTTGTTTTATATTATTAAATTTGTTATTTTAAATAACTCAAAATAGCAAATTGATAGTCAAAGCGAAAAATATTGTTAATTTTTTTTTACCAGTGTATAAAATTTAAAATTATCACTTAATTTCAATTTAAAAAAGATGACTTCTCTTTGCAATCTATATTATTTGTATGATTAAATGTCTTGTTTCTTTAGGGTGTAACGATAGTTTAAAGTGTCCCTGAGTGGAAACCTTTTAATAATTCATTCGTTTTTAATATTGACACCTTTTAGCCCCCCTTTTTAGCTGAAATGCCATTCTTAACCCCTCCTCAAGTTGCGTACCTATGTGACTTTTGAGAGCCAGAAATAAAATATATGAAATGACGTTGCCTTTGGTGTTTATTGTTGTTCTTGCTGCTGCTTTTTTTTGTTGTTGTTGTTTTTTGTGTTGTTTCCTGTCGAACGTGAAAGGAAGAGAAAAAAAAGAGGCGGAAACAGGCAGCGTCATAAATATGTAAGCAGTGTGTGTATGACCTTCGCGTGTCGCAGGAACATTTTCAGCATTTTCTGCATGCAGAAATACAACAACGTTAAATTGAGGCATTTCTCTGTTTTTTCCTTTTTTTCCATTTTTTTCTTGTCTTTTGGCAAGCAAATCATGTTGCATGTTTCCACCGCTGACCTCTGACCCCGATATATCGCCCAGTCGCCATAATTTACGGCCTGACAACTGACACGAACTGCAGGAATATTACGAGGGCTTCCAGTATAAAGAAGAACATCTAATGTGAAAATAGGGAATATCAATTTATATATTTTTTATACAAAACATTATTATGTTTGGTTACCCCAGCCAGAGTCTGCAGGTTGAGGTGATAGATGCCGCAGACATCGAATTGTATGGGATCTTGCATGATTTGCAGGGCAAAGTCCTCGATTTGACTTCTTTCCAAAGGAGTCTGTCCTGGCCGATCCTTTAGTTGCTCCTGCAATAGCTTGGACTGCAAAAATATTCATTATCCCAAAATTTTTTCAAATATTCTTCAAACCGTGCGATTGAATTATTTTCAAACAATTTATTGAAAATTGAAACCGTTAAACAACACAGTTTTATAAATTAACATTTTCAAATAAAGTGTAAAGTCAGTGGTAAACTTAATATAATAATGATTATAAAATAATTAATAATAATTAAAATGTTCTTAGAAAACTTAGCTTTCAAACAAGATATTTATTTTAATAAATGAAATAAAATTATGAATTACGGAAAATGTTTTTAAAAACGACTTTACTTTATTTTTACATTTTCACCACTGATTACCACTTATTACCAAATTAAAAATTAATACTAATTAAAATAATCTTAGAAATCTTAGCTTAAAAACAAAATATTTATGAAAATAGTGTGGTAGGTTTTGAGAATAACAACTTTACTTAATTTTAATTTTAATATTGTCAAATAAAATTAAAAAAAAAAAAATTAAAACTTTCTACCTACATTGGCCACACATCGATGGCAGGCAGCGCACATGGCCGAGATCTTGACGAGCGTGGGTATAACCACGTACATGGCCTGGACGAAGACGAGCCAGGTGGCGGGCAGCGTCTGCAGATACTCGACCATGAAGTACACATTGCAGACGATGATCCAGTCGCCCAGGCAGATGACATTCAGCAGGAGCAGCGAGAAGCCATAGATGTGCGACAACGAACGCGACACTTTGGCCAGATGGGCGTACTGCGATCGCAGGGTTTTGTAATCCCTGCAGCCCGCAGTCACCCTGTGATGCAGTTCCTGCAACTGGCCATCCAAGCGATCCACCAGCAGCATCATTTGCAAATAGCGAGCACGTACGGCCTGCAAACTGAAGGCATATCGCAGATGCTCCAAGTACATGCCATTTTTATTGTACTCGTAGCTAACGAGGGCTAAGGCACAAGCAACCAGAAAGAGTTCCACGAACAGATGACGGTACATAAAGGAGGTGGCCCGGACCAGAGGCAGTTGCTCCAGCAGTCGACGAACCCGCTGACACTGAACCAAAGCCATCCAGGTAATCCAGGCGTGGATTATATTGTAGGCCACATTGACGCTCTGAATGGTTTTCACAAAGAACGTGGACACTGAATCGCCATCCGACTGTTCCTCCCTAAAGTAGCACACTATTTGGCCGAGCAGTATAATAAGTATTAGCATCAGGAAGCTGCTGGCCAGAAGACGGCCCAAACGACTGCCACTCCATCCGCAAACCAGGCCAAAAAGCTGGAAATATCCGGTTATACAGCGATCCAGCCACAGCGACATTGGGCCAACAACTGACAACCCTATAAACTTATTATAAGCAGGCTATCTTTCAATTAATCAAAAAGCAGGGCCGGTTTGATCATATCGGGCAACTAATTGGTTTATTGGTGACCCCGATTGTTCCACTTTGACATAACTTTCCTTATTTAACCAGGTGGTAGTACACCTCCACAAGTTTGTAGCTATTTGCCATTAGGATTAACAATCGCGACCCGTGATTTTTGCAAAGTAATGATATGATATAAGATGGGATCTGGTGACCTCAATGACATATTTTTATGTTTCTAAAGTTGATGAAATTACAATCTATTGATTCGTGTTGTATTTTATTTCGTTAAAGTATTGTTTATTATCCTACATAGCTTAAAATTTAAACAAATACTTCTGCCACTATATATTAATTATGTAACACTATACTTTTACTATTTATGAAAATCGTATATCCAGTTTTGGATGCCTAATGATAGTATGAAAGATATGATAAGCTGTAAATGGGGTTTGGTGACCCCGATTTCAATTTTTTATATTTTCTAGTACGAAAACAATACTATTTATTGATTCAAACTGTTTTTCCAATCTCTACTATATATTTTCTTAATTATTTCTTTGCAGTGCTCACGGTTCTCAGCTCGACGATCAAGTACAACGAATACGCAACGGACAAGGGCGGCAATGTGAGCATACCCTGCATAGCCCAGGGCAACATCATGTGGGTGAAAGAGCACGGCAACAACAGCACAATAGTCCAGGTGAGCTGGATGACATTCCACATCCACAAAGTCCCCGAGATAATTGCTTAAAAATACTTTCCGAAAATTCCCAAAAAAGTCTGGTCGTGTTTTGGTGCTGCGCAATGTGAGCACGACGGATGCTGGAATTTACGTCTGCTTTGCCTCGCTGCCACGCCCATCGACAACTGCAACTGCAGCATCAGCAACTACCTCACCGCAAAATCAGCAGGAGAACACTGGTAAAAAAAACATAGTGAATCCAACTACTTAATACTCAATTGAAAAATATTTTTGTATATTTTTATGGAAATATATATAGTTTTTATTTTTCTTCATTTGACTATGTTTGGAATAGATTTTATTATGTGAAAATTGAATTTGAAATTTAAGCATTAAATTTTAAACTAATATTTTTCACATTTGTAAAAATATTTCATTACTTTATTATGCAATTAAATATTTATTTGTTTAAAATCATTATTTTTTTTAAGTCAGTCAAGTTGCTGTAAATTATTTTTAATATGCCATTTTTTTTTTACCAGTGAAAGCATCCCAGCCAGTGGAGGTTGAGAATGGCAGCTCCAAGGACTCCCAGCAGGAAACCCAAGTGGAGCAGAAGGAGCAGGAGGAGTTGGAGGTGGAGTACCAAGCGAAACAGCGAACCAAGCTCGTCGTTCGCACGGTTCCCGGTCCGGTGTCGCAGCTCTACTTCAAGGCCTCCACCATACTGGGCTTCCTCATTTGGCGCTTCAACAAGACCCAATCCGGGGGCTATCCGGTACGCAGCTTTACGGCGGAGTACCGCAATGTGTCCTACAAAACGCCGCCGGCGAACGCCAGTTTCGAGCACGCCTGGAGCAGGATGGATCCCATCAACATAGCCTTTAATGTGGTGGGTATTACCTAAGTACACTGTCAAAAGAAACATAGTAAATCCAAGTACTGTCAAATTCAATTTTAATTTTTTTCGCTTTTAATTTTTTTTCATAGTTATTGAATAATATAAAAATATTAGATGTTATATTTAATCTTTTTTCTGTTCTCTATGCATTTACGAATTGAAAACAATTTGTATTTTGCATACTTTTAGACACCCCTAAAAGTGATTGTTTAAAACTTTGTGATTCCTGATGTAGCCCTTATTTTCTTTGCTTAAATCCATCTTGTTTTTCATCTCAATTGTAATGCTTTTAGCGTCAAATGGAGGTCTATCGCCTGGCACCCAACACCACATATGAGTTTCGGATATGGGCCAACAACGAGCTGGGCAGCGGCGAGGTGGTGACCACCAATGTGACCACGCTGCCGGAGACCAAGGAGGAGGGTGAGTACTCCGGGCACTGCCGCCCGACCATATCAAATCAATTCAAATGCTAGAGTTCTTAGGCTCTATTAGGCTAGGCTAGGCTAGGTCCAAATTCAGGCTAGATTATGTTGAATATGACTACTGTTTTCGTATAACTTTGATTCTACTTTAAATGTGTAAAATGTATTTCTAATCGGTAGTTGATCATTCCTAATTTCCAATTGCTGTCAACATATATATATTAAGGTCCCAATGGTTAGGTTTGCAACTGAAATAGAACGATTTTTAAAAGCTAAACATATTATATAATGGTTTCTATATTATTAATATATATACTAAAAATTACTATATTACTTTAAACTAAAATGGTATAAATATTAAAACCATTAATATTGTTATATATTACTTCAAAGTTCTTTAACAAAAAAATATATATATTTGAAACTGGTTGCAACCCTGGCCGTGGGCACAACTCTAGTTACTTGATTGGTAGCTTACCTTAAACTAAGTGGTAACCTATAGCTCATTGTTTAGTATATTCGATTTGTATTTTGATGTAATTTTCGTTATCCATCTATCTCTCTCTCCCCTCTCTATTTATCTCTCTGTCTCTCGAATTGTGTGTGTGTGTATTCGTGTCTCTCTGTCCCTGTCACACTCGAAACCAAGCAGATCTCATACGCCTTATAAAACCCGACCTAGACAATTTCGATCCGCGCATTTGGATAGTGGCCGTCAGCATAGTGCTCGGAACCCTTGTGATATTAGCGATCGGACTCTGCATTGTGCTCTCCAAGGAGTGCTATCAGTCGGCGCAAATGGGTACAGAATAAGTCGATCAACTCCAGCTTTAGCCCAAAAAAACTCCAAAACTCCAGAACATCCCCAGTTCGAATAGAACAGCAAACAATTCCCGAGAAATCAGCAACAATTCTCACCTTTTTTTCTCACATATTTTTTAAAATATTTTTCGCGTATTTTTGAAAAATACACTGATCAAAAAATGGAATAGTAAAAAAAAAATCTGACCATTAAATTCAAATTACTAAAATTAAAAATCATTACTACGTATTTTTACCAGTGTAGTTTTTTAGTTTCAAATTTGGCTTTTCTCAGTTTTTCTCAGTTATTCAAACTCACACATTATTTTTACCTGCATTGTTCAGTTTTGTTATGGCTCTATATTGATGTTATATGGTGTCGTTGTTGTTGTTGTCGTTATTGCCGCATTGCTGTTGTTATTGTTGTTGTTGTTGCCGCTGCTATATTGCTATATATTGTTTATATTTAAAATCAAATTTTAGTTTAATCGCATTTAGTTCTTATGTTTTGGCAGCCGGACGCGAAATGTTTGCTTTTGCCGTTGGATGTTGTTTATATGTATACTTAAGTCCCCATATTATATATTCTACATGTATGTACATAGCCTTAGTGCGGCTGCTGTGACCTGTAAATAAAATAGCATACGAAATGCATACGTAAATGTATTTGATATGTAAAGCTCTACAGGCCAAAAACAAATATTGATTATGGAAAATTGATTATCAAAATTGTCATTAATTTTCTAATAGTTATTCATTAAGCAGCTTTCGTAATTATGCAAATTATGTTTGATAATAATGTTTAACAGAATGTAGGTCCAATTAAGTTCTGTAATATATTTGTAGACATAGTTTAGGTAAAATGGTCTAACAGTTTTGTAAACTCTCATTAAATCAGTAGGATTTTACATTACATTTGGTGGTACATCAAAAGCTAGCCAAAAAATGCTTTTATTATAGATTCAAAACATAACAAATAGAAAATGCAGCTGAAATTTTATAGCAAATGTATATAAATTCACTTTGCTTACATTAATTGTGAAGTTTTAGTGTTAGAGCAGCAGTACAAGATGCTTGTATTTATTTACTTAATACCCCCACATTGACTTAACTTTAAATCCCCTAAATAGAACCTATAGCCTTAAGTAATGAAAAGTGTAATTTCCGCTTTAACAAAAACCCAAATGCAAATTCAGTCCTAGACCAAAAAGAAAACAAAAAGCTTTAAGCACTTTAACTGTGATAGCCTGCACTTGTAGCCAAAAAATCAATCAATGAAAACGAAACCGAAATCAATGCAAAAACCGTTTAGAGGTCTCTACCAATTTTAAGCTGTACTGCAACAAATAAATAAAAACATATTGCTTAATAAATATTGTAAAATGCCTAGACGAAAGACAAAGCTTTATCAATGTTGTAACCGTGTATGTACATTACTTTACTAAATATTAATGTGTTATTTGCATTTGCAACGATAAAACCCATAAAAGCACGACAATTAAATGTTCTAAAAAACTGAAAGAGTGGATTGTATAAAATGTTTCGTTGAGTATTTAATTTTGTTTTGTTTTGAGAACACTTGAGCTTGGATTTCAATAGAAAATGCACACAAAACACACAGAAAGACACATTATAAATACAATTACTAGATATACGCATATACAACTGTGTTCAAAATCGTAAAACCATTTGCATTTTTTCAAAAATTTCGAAAGAATAAGTTTAAGAGTAATTTCAAGCTAGTTTTTTACAGAAACTGTTATATTTCTTCATCAAAATTTATAATTACATTAACTACTATTATATTTGTTTGTCTTACTTGCTAAAAAGCTTTCCAAAAAAAATTAAAAAAAACAAATATTTATTACTACTATTTTGGACACAGCTGTAGACACACTTATTTAGCGAGACAAAGTTGTTTGCTTGCATTACGCATACGCCCTGTGCAACGCTTGGGGGCTAAAGTGCCGCTTTTTTCGAGTGTCACTCGGCTGAAGCGCCGCCTGTAAATATTTGTGTTAAACTGTTGCACACGTACACTCAGAAAAACAACACACACACTCCCAAAAATACACACACATTAACAACACAAACAATTAAAATCCCTAGAAAAAGAGGTAAAGTACAAAATAATTATTAAAAGTGTGTCTAATAAATTTTTTTTTTCTCTCTCTCTTTCTCTTTTTTCTTTCTCTTCCTCATGTTTTCTCTAACTCTTCCTGCCTTTTAATATAATATTTATTAATATAAAAACTAATAACATTTATTTTTTCTTAAAGAACTGCAAGATGGTTGGGACAGCATTGAGCTTATTCCGAACATAATACTTAATCCCGGTTTCAGCGAGTCAGATGGCGGGGGTCAAGGTCAGGGTCAAGGTCAGGGTCAGGAGGGCAACGATCAGCAGGAGGTGGAGGACGATGACGATGTGGCCATGCCCTTTCCGCGCACCATCATCTTTGGCCAACACCATCGAACGCCTCCGCCGCCCCGTTTGCACCTGCCGCCGCAGCACCATCACCTGCAACCCTTTGGCCATCACCTGCATCTGAATCCCAACCAGAGCCACCACTACCATCACAATCAGCACCACAGTCGGCGGCAGGAGGAGGACGATGACGACGACTACGAGGAGGAGCACGAGCCCACCATGGAGCGATTCAAGCGCAAAGTTTCCGTCTTCTTTACCGGCCCCACCATCAAGCGGATTTGAGACACATTCGAGTACAAAAGTAAACACTTCTCACCCAGGTTGTTGTTGTTGCTGTGGCGTTTGGCGGTTTGATCGGATAGCTAGGATCCATATATATATACATATATAGAGCTTGTCGATTGAAACACTCGTTTTCACTTCGGTTTCCTATCAAAGCTTGCAACATGATACATACAGTTGCGGTCTAAGTAATAGTAGTTTTTAAGCCTATGGAAGTAGCAATGAGAAAAAGTTTAAAAGCAACTTTAGAACATAATCCAATTTATTCCAATTTACAGATGAGTGAGAATGCAAATGGTTATTTTGTTAAATTGTTTTTAAATCATTTGATATAAAATATGGAAATGTTAATTTTAACAAATTATTATTTAGAGACCCTTGAAAAGTAATATTTATTTTTGGTATTATATTTTTTATGTAATTTTAACTATAGCCTACTGTTACTATGAATATTAACAGTATCGAAGATTATTTATAGTTTGTAAGCATTATGATAAATGAAAAAAAAAAATATCCTATGTTTTTGAGCACTTTGCATAGTCAAACTACTATTATTTTGACCGCAGCTGTGCATAAACAAAAATCCCTGAGAGCGAAATACTCGTACAGCCACTTTGATTTATTGCTCATCGCTCTGCTTCTCCCAGTTCACTATTATATAGTATATATTATATACACGTATTATATATATAAACCAAAACAAATATATTGCTGTGATACAAATTCAATTGAACGGACATTGTAAGGATTTACCATAAACCACATGAAACACCATGTCAGTTATTAACCATCATGAATTTGCTGAACTCGTAGACAAAAAAAAAAAAAAAAAAAGAAAATAAACCCAATTGTATTTTGCCTAGTTAAACACGCCATCTGAGTTACAGCAACTGGATTACTTAGATTCAGATATATAGCATACAGTTTGCTTAGAGCCACAAATGCATCTGAGAAATGAAGAAAAATCCGAAAGAGATCCCTTACCGAGTACTAAATAAAATGTTTTTCATTTCAAAATGTCCGTTGGTCTGTTAGCTTAAATAAAAATAGCTTTACACTATTATATAAAATTTGTATCTATAAGTTTTTTTTTATATAACTTGAGAAAATATAGAATTATTTTATATTTTCCATACATTTAATATTTATAATATCAATACTATTGATTTAATATATTATTTTATATTTTAAATTATTTTTTTTACATTAAATTATAAGTCAAAAGTAAGCGATCTCCAATAGTCCAGATTCGCGATTATATCGTTCCAACTTATCTTGGCTTTGGTTCTGTTGTAAAGATTTAACCAACTGTGAAACAATTTTATAATTGAGCAAATATTTTGCACTGTAGAGCGCACCAAACGATCTATATATAGATAAATAAATATATACTATATATATTAAACAAAAAAACCGAATTAAAAAACGTTTGATAAACATTTTAAATAAACGGCAAAATGCCTTGTGCTTTAGTTCGGCCTCAAAGCTAATAAAAATTAAATTAAATATGGATATGATATAGGAATATTTATGAACGTAGTTAAAGTAGCTGGGAAACCAAATATTCAAAATGAAAAAACGAAAACTGCTTCCACTCACAGAAAACAAAATCGAAACAATGAAATTGTTATAAAAAAGATAAATCAAAACTAATTTTAAACAAGCGATTATTGTGTATATACCAATGCAGACAAAAAAATAATATTTATATAGTATATAGTATATGAAAGAATGTACACACATGTGAGGGATGTACATAAAGATAGCGATTGGGTATCTTAAGAAAGACTGTAGTTAATGTTTAAGACACTTTGGCCTGTGCTTATACCAATTTTTTGGGGCCCAAACGGCTCGCCTTTTTCGGTTCCAACATATTTTGCATTGATCTCTGCAAGAGCTACAAACAAGTACGTATTATAGAATGAATATTTCTAACAATTCGGAATGTGCACTTAGCTAAAACCAGTAAAAAATGAGAAAAACACAAAACCACAAAGCATAACATAAATAGAACGAAATTACATAAATAAGCAAATCCTAAACTCTTGGCTGTATTTATAATTGTTATTGCTTCAGGTTGAGGTTTATTGACATTGCGAAATCGCTCCCTATTTCACTCTAAAGAAATTATTTTCTAATCTGAGGCAAAGCCACCGGTTGACAGGCTCACAATTCGACACCACAAGAACACAGACAACAATAAAATAAATCTAAGTTTACAAAACCAATTTACAATCTCGACTTTTATATTTGGGTTTTGGGTTTGCATATCAAGATGAATTTTGGGTACACAACTTAACCTTTTGAATCCATACCTTTAAGTACATTTACCATTATTTATTTTTTTCATTTAAATTAACAAGGTACGGTAAACTATTAAAATTATTAAAAAATTATTTATAAACGGTGTCTTTGAAATCATTCAAATCAGTTCATAACATTACAATACCCATAAAATATCATTAGACACATTTTTGATTAATATTCAAATAAATTCTCTTATAAATTCCCAACATTTTTCGGGAAAATAGTGCTCAAAACCCCCGAAAACAGTATAAATTTGAGTGTTATTTTTAAGCTCTTTATCAAGCGTTTATTTGCGAGTTGAATTTAGCGATCTGCTCGTTACATAGTTAACATAGTGAACTCAGGAAAGGGCCAATTTGGGTTTCGAACTTAGGGACTACAGTGCTTCGCCTGAAGCGTCGTTGTGTGTGTGTGGTTGTTCTGGTTGTTTGGTTGTTTGGTTGTTTGCTGACACTTTACTGGTAGTCCTTGTTGTCCTGGCTGTTGCTGTGGCTGTTCCACGCCTGATGGACACCATGGTAGTTGCTCTGCTTCTGGGCAGGGGCATTGCGACCGAAGGGGCTCTTGGGGTTGACCTGCAGGATGTAGTCGCCCTCCAGATCGTGGGCGGTGTCGATGCCCATGTAGGCCCGCTTGCCGAAGCCATCGTTCTGCTTGTACTGCTGCAGCGAGTTGGCCGGCACGGCGGGGAAGCTCCTCTCGTTACCCGGACGCACTGACTCCGCGAAGTAGCGGGTGGCACGCATGGCCGCCTCCACCACGTTGCTGGCACCGGGCACTCCGGCCGCGGGTCCATTGGGATAGAAGTCCACATCGCCGGAGCGGATGGGTGTGCCCATGCCATAGACAGAGGTGTGGATGGCATCCACGAACTCGGCATCGCCGCGGGCCAATCCGGTCAGGGTGTTCTGGCTCTTGGCCACAATCTTGGAGGGATCCAGACCGGTGACGCGACGCAGCTTGTGTCCGGTCAGGCGGGTGAACTCCTGGGCAGCAGCACCGGCCACATGGGCACCCACATTCTGGCCAATCAAATGGATCGTATCGAAGGGCATGTCCAGCTCATTCACCATCTGCACAATCCACTTGCCGATCTTGGCGCCGGTCTTCTCCACATCGAGCATGGCATAGCGCTGGTAGTTGGTCAGCTTGGAGCCCAGATCGATCACAATGATGTCGCCGCTCTGGGTCTTGGCGTTCTTCACCTCCTCGCTGGAGTCCTCCTCGCTGCTGGTGCGCTGATGGTTCTTCTGCTCGCCACTCTGATCCTGGTAGTCCTGGTTGTTCTGGTTGTTCTTGCCCTGCTGGCGCTGCTGCTGCAAGTTGTAGCGCTGCATGTAGGCCTGCACCAGCTTGCGGGTCGCCTTCTTCACCGTCTCAGTGGTCTGGGGCAGTCCGGTCACAATGATGGTCACCTCGTCGTCGCCGAAGGTCTGCTTCTGCTTCAGCCGCTGGACCATCTCGTTCAGGGGGGCCACGATCTTCTGGCCATTGGCTTGGGGCACGTACGCCTGGATGCCGCTGGGCACGAAGCTGGGCTCCACGTTGTGGTGGATCTGCGACAGGTGGTCTGAAAAACGGTTTCCAATCAATATTAATTTAAGCACAGAATTTCTTAAAAGTGTATAACATTTTTGTGTGAATATCTAATATTTATATTGTTATTTACATTCTATAATTCAAACTTCTACAAAAAAATTTTAAATACTATTTACAGACATTTTCAAAGCCCAGAAGCTTGTAAAATTTCTGTGTTAATTGTTTTTAAGTCTTAGTCACATTCTATACATTTGATAAATGTTTAAGTGTATTTAATCTAAAAAGAATTTCAAATAATACTCATTGACATTTCATTCAACAGAAATTGAAGAAATATCTGTGCTAATTGTTTTTTTACACTTACAAACTTGCTGCAGAAGCTCGGCGCCACGCTCCAGGTTCATGTTCTCCAGACGCTCAATGGTGAGGTCGTCGACGGCGGGAATGGCCTCCAGCTGGGATCCGGAGAGCCACTGCGATGGCTTCAGGGCCTGGTTGACGGAGTTGTCCTGTCGGCCATTGGGCTTGGCCATGACGGCGACCGCCAGGCAAGCCAGAAGGCTCAGCACTTTCATGGGATTCATGGTTCCGGTTCGGATTCGGGATCGGATGCGACTTCAACACTGAGCGAGTTGAACTGACTTTTCAAACAGCCAAGGGTGGCTTATATACCCCGTTGCCGTTGCTATTGCCATTTCCCATTTCCAGACTCTCTTTCTTTTTTTCCGCTTAATCGGCTTCAAGCGACTTCTGCTGAGCAAGGGTTTTTGGGGCCTGGGAATCAGAATCGGAATAAATACTATACAATATCAATATATACAAAGTCGGCACGGGCTTACCTTTAGCTGACCCCACTGATGACTTGGCACCTGCACCGGCCGCCTGATAATTTCAATTTGTAATCACTTTGTAGGCTCCGCTGATTGCAACATTGTACTTTAGTTTGTTTGCCACCGGATTTTGTTTAAACACACATTAAATATCTATCAAAATTCTATAATTTAACCAATTATTTTTAAGCACTCTTTAATGTATTGGCCCATTTTCTTTTTTATATATTTTTTTAAAATTTAATTTAACTTTATTTTTGCACTTTAATTTTCCATTTTCAATTCAAGGCCAATCGCAGTTCATTGATTCCAGATTTTTATTGTTGATACGGAAAGTGTGGAGTGTCGAATGTTTTTAGTTTCCAGGCCAGATAGTACAAGTATACATATAATTAAACATTTTATAATGGACTTTAGAAATCGATGACAGGAGCACATGTAGTTTACTATGTCAGAGATGACTCTTTGTTCATGGACTTAACATTTTTCACATAGATATATTTAAAATGTCTGAATTGTCATTTGGTTTTATATGTTTGTCTTGTTTATATATCAAAAAAAGTAATTTGGTTCCTGTTTCCAATTTCACTCAATGCTCAAATATCATTGCCTTTTTTTATCTTATTAAATATTTTGCAATCGAAATATGAAACCATTTCTCGCTGTTGCTTATATATATTCATTTCACTTTTTTTGGTCTGGTTTATATTCTCTTGCAATGCCAATAAAGCTTATTGAAATGTCTACAACTAATAAATTTAATTTATAAAATGTTTTATACATTTGTTAAGGGCTTGTTATGAAAATATATTTTATTGAATTTGTTCTCGTTCTAGATGATTTTAATAAATAGTTTTTTGGAATCTACAAAAATCAAGTCAAGTGATCAAAATTTTAAAACAGTTTTCATAAGTGTTTTAATAAGTTTCTATATTTGAAAGGGTTGTGCCTAAATAAGAGAAAAATCTAGCTCTTCGAAATTAATTATTTTTAACGTAATGGCTTACTATAAAACTGTTAAATTGTTTAAGTATTTTTAATAAACAAAAAGCTTGACCCCAGCATGAGTTCAAGTCGTGGCTTTTGTCAAGCCCCCTTTTAAAACAGACCCCCTTTTGTTTACATTATGTAAGTGCTGCACAAAGAAGTTTCCCAATCATAATATATGCCGTGTTTATGCGAGGGAAAAAATGATGGAGCTCATCAGAAGTGTTGCAAAGGCACTGACTCGACGAAATCGAATATTTGTGCTGATCCAGAAATCGTTTGCTGAATCAATTGCTTCCGGCGCATGCACTATACTATAGTTTGTGCCTAGAAGGGGTATAAATAGCCATCGCATTGCTGCTTTAAGCATGCAGTACAACTTGGTACGGTGTCTGAAACAGTCGAACTTGGAAGTCAAAATGAATCCTCTGCGCAGCCTTTGCCTGCTGGCCTGCCTTGTGGCAGTGGCCATGGCTGGACCCCAGTCCGGTGGCCGTTCCAACTCCCTGGACAGTGTGCAGCAGCCCAGCAATTGGGTGAGCCCCCGGGAAATCGAGGATCTGCCGGCGCTGAACCAGGTTACCCTGAAGAAGCTGCAGGAGATGAGCCTGGAGGAGGGTGCCACACTGCTGGACAAGCTCTGTAAGTTGGCCTTAACTCCCTTGAAGACTGTATAGTAATTTCTTGGAAAATCCCCAGACCATTTGTCCCAGTTCAACCGGGTCTTCAAGCCCGACTATACACCCGAGCCCAGCCAGATCAAGGGCTACATTGTGGGCGAACGCGGCCAGAAGATCGAGTTCAACTTGAACAGCCTGGTGGAGACGGTGAAGCGCCAGCAGAAGTTCGGCGATGACGAGGTCACCATTTTCATCCAGGGCCTGCCCCAGAGCAACTCGCAGGTGCACAAGGCCACCAGGAAGCTGGTGAATGCCTATCAGCAGCGCTACAACCTCCAGCCCTATCCCACCACCGATTCCTCATCCGAGGAGCAGCATCAGAAGAGCAGCAGCGAGGAGCAGCAGCAATCGCACGGCAGGAAGCAGAACGGTGAACAAGATGATACCAAAACTGGTGACCTCATTGTCATCCAGCTGGGCGATGCCATCGAGAACTTCGAACAGTACGCCACCCTGAACATTGAGCGCCTGGGCGAGATTGTGGGCAACCGTCTCGTTGAGCTGACCAATGCTGTGAATGTGCCCCAGGAGATCATCCATCTGATTGGCTCCGGACCGGCTGCCCATGTGGCCGGCGTGGCTGGACGGCAGTTCACCCGCCAGACGGGACACAAGTTGCGCCGCATCACCGCCCTCGACGCCTCGAAAATCTATGGCAAGCCGGAGCAGAAGCTGACTGGTTTGGCTCGTGGCGATGCTGACTTTGTGGACGCCATTCACACCTCGGCCTACGGCATGGGCACCGGCGAGCGACTGGCCAACGTGGACTTCTATCCCAATGGACCCTCGACCGGAGTGCCCGGTGCCGACAATGTGGTGGAGGCGGCCATGCGTGCCACCCGCTACTTCGCGGAGTCAGTGCGTCCGGGTAACGAGCGGAACTTCCCCGCCGTGGCCGCCAGCTCGTACCAGGAGTACAAGCAGAACAAGGGCTATGGCAAGCGGGCCTACATGGGCATTGCCACCGACTTTGATCTGCAGGGCGACTACATGCTGCAGGTGAACTCCAAGAGCCCCTTCGGTCGCAGCACTCCCGCCCAGACCCAGTCCGGCTACCACCAGGTGCATCAGCCATGGAGGCAGTCCTCTGCCTCCGCCGCCAGTCAGGCAAACCGCCACCACTAGAACTAGAACTAGTTCGCTAGTGTTGGCTAGATGACAACCAGATCGCACACCCCTCACGCGAGCGAACCACTTAGCCCATCCCCATCCAGCGCAGAGCTGCACCACCACACCATCCACTATCTGTAATACGCTTCGTTTTTTAATTCACAAAATAAAAAAACCTTTGCATTTTTAAAATAATTCAAAATTATATAGTCATTGGTTAGCTAAGAAAATCCAGTCCAAATTAAACTTATTTTTGCCTCGCAATAAAAAATGGTTGCTTTTTTAAAAATATTAAAAGGAGTTGTGTTCACTTCTAGAAGATATCTTCTAGATATTTTTTTTTGGGTTTTTCAAGACTGGTCAACTTGTCCAAAACTAGACGTATAGCCATAGGAGTCATTGTTTTGTACAGCTGGCAACCTACACTACGCTCCACAATCGGTTTAGATAAACTAGTTTTGTTTTGATACAAAAACCGATTTTTATAAATGGATTTTTTGAAAAATTAATTTTATGGCCGATTTTCGCATTTTTGATAAGGGGGTCATCATCATTTTTTGCGAATTTTTGAAAATCTGAAAAAATTTTAACTAAGAATGCCATTTGATTGCCAATTTAATGACGAATTCGCCGATTAATGACATTCCATCTGGTGACCATTTTTTCCCAAGGTTTTGATACAAAAACCGATATTTTAGGTGCTTTTTCGGGTTTTTGGAGATTTGACAAATACAAAAATTCCTAAAGCGTCCTTTTGTTGTAACTTGGCCAAAATTATAGGTAGAGCCATAAGAGTGACTGTTGGCAACCTATATTACCCATCTAAAATCGGTTTAGAGTCATTTATTTGGCTTTAATAAGAAAAACCGATTTTTCTAAGTAGACTTGTGAAAAATTAACGTTATGATTTTATCATTTTTTGAGAAAATTTCAAAATCTGAAAAATTTTTTACTGAGAATGTCATTTGATTGGCAATTTAATGGCGAATTCGCGGATGTATGACATTCCATCCTGTGATTATTACTTTCCAGTGTTTTGATAGAAAAACTGATTTTTTGGGTGTTTTTTTTTGTGATTTTGGAGACTTGTCAAAAAACAAAATTCTAAGAGTCCATTTGTTGTAAGTTTGTTAAAAAAAGACGCATAGCCATAACATTTGCTGTTTTGAACAGCCGATCGATTGAGAAAAAATGTATTTTGTTTTGGTATTTTTTATATTTTGCTTTTTTCTGGCGAAATGATGTCGTTTATTCTAACTAACTGTATACACTATATGCTAACTAAATATCCTAAGTGGTTGAAATATAAACAGATTACATTTAATTTATATATACTACATATTTCACTTTTACCCAAGGCAACCGCATAAATCGAACGCAAAACATTTGGATTACACGATATGTTTATTTGATAAAGAAAGCATATTATCCATTATGGTATACAGCATACACACGCACAACCACATATATATGGCGCTATATATATGGGTGTGGTTCATGAACTACAGACAATAATATTTCTTGCTTACTACTGAGTTGGCAGGCGCAAAAAAAATGGGGTTTCAGATATCACTAAGCTTAAATAAGAATAATTAACGTAGAATTTCAACTTTCCATCTTGCATCCATAATGACCTTGGTCGTTGTTTGACCAGCAGCAGCAGCAGCAGCAGCAGAACTAATCACAAATTGTGGGAAATTGGGGGAAAAACATATACAACATGGTGGTAAATGGGTAAAGGGTTTTCAGATGACCGTTGGGTGGGTTTATGAATGGATTTAGATTTGGGGATATGGTTTTATCAGTCTAGTCCCGGCAGGGCTGATCCGATGGCGACCAGGTGCACATCCCGCCGATGCCATCGTAGGCCAAACCCTTGGGACAGGTGTACTCCCAGCCCACAATGCCGCCGGTCTCCTCGAATTTGGCGCACGAAATGAACTTCCGGCAGTTGAGAGGATGCGGGAAATTGCCCTGCGCCCGGCACTCGATGATGCCGCGTCCATGGACGATGACCTTGGTGTTGGTGGCATCGCTTTTGTTGGGTCCAATGCCGCCGCTGCGTCTCCGTTGGGCCACCTGATTCACAGCCACCACCGGGAATGGCTCCTCCAGCAGTTGACTGCTCGAGGTGGCCGTTAGTACGGCCGATTTGCTCGGCGGACGACTGTAGACCTCGATGTATTTGTGCGGACGACGACGACTCTGTTGGCGACGCGAGAGGGGCGGTGCGGAGTGGCCAGCCGGTGTGCTTGACCCCAAGGACGAGCCCACAGTGGGCGTGGCCGTGGTCGACTGCGGCCGACGTGGGCGTGGTATCAACTGGCGTCCTAGAATGTGAATAAAAATCAATTAATACTGATAGGTCAACATCTCAAAATTAAATTAAAGACCAATGTAAAAGGTTGTCACACTGAAAAAAAATAGTAAACCCATAATCAATTTAAATATTTTTCCCTTTGATTTTAATTATTTGATATATGAAAATAATAAAATTTGTTTTTTATTTATCATTTGACTATTTTAGAAGTTGATTTTAATAAATGAAAATTAAATTTAAAATTAAATTTAATGTTAAAGCACAACATAATTTTTTTTGTATTTTCTGATTAAGCTTACTTATTACTTAACAAAATAAAACAATTTTTTTTTTGTTCAGCTTATCTAAGTCAATTTAAATTGTTAATTATATAAAAATAATACATTTTTTTTAGATTTTTAAAAATTTTAAAAAAATTTAAAAAGTGCTATTATTTTCACCGCAGCTGTATGTACATTTAAATGACATTTTGAACCACTTACTTATGCCCTGGTTAATAACTGGCAGTGGTGCACTGGCGGTGCTGCCGGGCGTGGTGCTGGTGCTCTTCAGTGGTTGCTGTGCTGCCGGTAGTGCTGGTGGCAATGCCAGTTCGTAGTCCTCGCGCGGACGCACTTGCTCCGGAATTTGGTTGAAGCGGCTGGTGTGGATGCTCGACTTGGCCACCTGATCCTCGTCGTCGTCGCTTGAAAACAAAGTGGTTGTGGTTTCCAGGCCAGAATTTGGCACGTTAGTGGTGCGAACGGACGGCGGTGTGGTGGAAATCAGGGTGAGGCGGCGTTTGAATAGCGGATTTTGGGTTCTTGGCACATCGGTGGCTAGCGAATAAAGCAATCATATATATATATAAAGATAAAAATAATAAATAAAAATAAATAAACCATCAGTCTTTCGCCCAAAAACAGATATTGCATCATTACAAATAACTTGTAGGTGTCATTCAACTTAAGACATTTTTTCTGGGCTTGTCAAAATATTATATGCAAAATAAATTTTAAGTGTGGGATCTCAGTGGTCTACAAACCATACTGTTTTTATGAATTAAAAGCATTAAATTATTTTTCAGGGAAAGGGAAATGCTTTCTTATGCTTATTTATGCTTTCTTTTAAATAACATTTGATAAAATAGATATAAAACACGACTAGAAACCCTAAGAAATATGAGTAGAGAGAGTTGAAAACACTTTGGCCTATGCACAGCCAAAAAGAATTTATGGTTGATTTTAGAAAGGATCTTAATGATTAGTAAATAATAAAAAAAATAAATAATAAATAATTAAAAGGCTTAAAGAAGGAGGCTTATTTTAAATTTTATAAATGTTTGCAATTACATTTTTTTTAAAATTTATTTATAAAATACTTTTTTAAACTGCACTTACCACTCTGATTTGATATTGTTAATATTATTTATTATTATACATTCTATTTGTTATTTATTTTTAAATTTATTTCTCTGCCAGATTTTTTCTTTATAGGTCAATGGTATGTTATTTTTTTCAAGTGTACTTACCGCTCTATATTGGTATTACTGATGTTAAATAAAATAGTTTAAAATGGCGTAAAGTAGTTTTTGTGTAATTTCAATTCATGCAGTTTTCGTTGCCTGACTTTTTTCATTATAGGGTCATTGGTATGATATTTTTTTCAAGTGTGCTTACCGCTCTCATCGCCGTTGGCCGCCGGCGCGAAGGTTGTCAGCCGACGCGTTTGAAATTGGCGTCGCAGCGCGAAGCTGGCTGGCTGGAACTTGTGTTGCTTTTGTGTGATGTCATTGCTGCTGATGTTGCTGCTGCTTATGTTGCTGTTGCTGTTGGTGCTGCTAGTTGCTGGCGTCAGCGTTGCTGACTCGCCGGATGCTGCTGTTGCTGCTGTTGCTCCGCTCTTGCCTTTCAGCTTGTTCAGATAGATGTTGCTGCTGGTTCTCCCGCCAGCAACAGATGTTGCTGTTGGCAAAACCGTAGTTACTGCTGCTGCGGTTGTTGTTGTTGCTGCTGCCGCTGCTGCTGCTGCTGAGGGTCTGCTGCGCAGTCGGTTGTATTTGGAGGTCGTTGGCGGTTCTGCAGGCTGCTGTGTGGTGACTTCAGCCGCTGCCAACGACGAAGTCGGCGAGTTGATAATCCGCCGGCGGACACTCAACACCGGTCGCCGCGAAACGCTGCCAGTCGTCGGTTGGCGCAGCTGTCAGTCGGTAGTCGATAGTCCATAGTTCACAGTACATGAAATTACACAGAAAACAACACTCAATTTAGCATTCAGTGAAATTATATATAGAGTATATTCTTCTTTTCATAATTTTTCTTTGCAACTCGCTTTGTAAAATTTGTGCGTTTTCCTGGCGATTTGTGTGTGTGTAGTCAACAACAATTCAAAAGCGCGCTACATGCTGTTCTATAACAATAATAAATCATAATAATATTTTTAAAATACCATGTTAAAATATACGTAACAAATCTACATAAAAAAGAAAAGAAATCTACATAAGCATTAAATAAATTAGTACTGTTTTGGGGTTTGTGTGTTTTTGTGTTTTTTTTCTATTGGATTGGGGTTTTGAAAAAGGGAAAAGAAACCCTTCTAAAGGAGCTTTCTCTCGACATCTCGACAAGATCAAGTTGACCAAGATAAGTGGAGCAACAACCGCAAAAATGCAGTCAGGCATTTTAATTGAAGGACGTTCGAGTGCAAAATAAATAACAAGTTACCTGCTCGGCTATTATTTTGTGCTAGTTTTGCTTTGTCCACCAATCTGGTTAACATTGAAAGCAGCTACACAATCCAGCTTCTATGATTGGAACTTACTATAATTATGCAAAACTGAACAATTATATAGAGTAAAATATTGTTTAAGATTTAGAGTGTTCAAGAGTTTACATTAATTTATTTTGAACTTTCTCTAACCCAAATTAAGTGACTTTCAACTTCTTTTCTCAAATACTTAGGTAAAACTTTGATTAGTAAACTAACTATTAAACGAACTCTTATATCGAAAAAAAATAATTTTTTAAGTAAAATTAAAACTGTATTAAAAAAACAGCTAAAAGTCCTTAAAAACTTTCTCATAAAAAATGTTTAAAAAATATATTTAGACACTCTTTCTCTAGAAATAAAGTATTGTAGCCTCTGTAAGTTCCATTCACAGAAGTTAGACTGTGGAAAAAATGCTGAGAGAGAGTTGCTGGCGAGTAGATTTTTGATGTCAATGTCGCACACACCTTCAAAAAGACAATGAATATATGAATGGACCGAAACGGAAAGGGAGAGGGGCGGGGTGGGGTATTTACATAACGCTGATGGGCTTCTTCTATTCGCAGATCGAAGCCTGTTTATCTGCCTGAAATTTATGGTATTTGGCAAGCCAATAACTGCATGCCAATGTGATTGCATAATCCGAATTCCCCCAACTCCCCATCCCCCTCATGAATTTTTCTTCTCTTTGGCAGATGCGCACGCGGTTTGCTTGTTTTCGGTTTGTTGTTTTTTGTTTTTTTGACCACTGCAAACTGGTTGGGCTTTAAATTAATTATTGTGCAAGCCAGTAGTTGGTCAGCTCGATGGGACTGAGACTGATGATGCGTGCAGGGCGTCGTCTGCGGATTTTCTGGCTTCTCGATGGGAAGTGTTGTGAAAGTGGCCAACGAAAGACTTAAGACACGAACGCGCCAAGGGAAAGCAGCGTTTCAAGGGCAATTTAAAAAAAAAAGAGGAAAGGGTGACCCTTTTAGTAAATATTTTAGTATTGGAATTTATTGAAATTAAAATCAAGTATCATTATGTTTTCATTAGTTTTTGCAAACAAATGTAAAATCTTCAGCAAACAGGTTTTTTTATACTTCCAAAAAATTAACAAATTTAAAAAAAGATTTCATTTCCACATTTACATTTTAGTAAATATTTTAACGTTTTACCCTGACTTTATTAAGCTTGATGAAGCTTACACACTAAAATTTAAAAATATACTTTTTAAAACTTAGTTAAATCATGAGCAAACAAGTCTTCAATATACATTAAAAAAATTAACAAATTTCTTTTATAAACCAATTAAAAAATATAAAGTTTTTCACTGTTAATAAATCTACTGGTTTGAAATTTTTATTCGTTAAAATTTAAAAATACTTTTTAAAAAACTTAGTAAATTCTACAGCAATCAGTTGCTTTTTATACTTCCTCAAAATTAAATAAATTCTTTTATTAACCAATTTAAAAATAGAAAATTACAAATGGCCTTTTGAAGTGGTCACACCTATCCTATCCACACCTATATGATATCTTTGGATCCGTTACGTTAACCTCTTTTTCTGTGTAAACACTCCCTATTATTTACGTTTTGTCTGCACTCTTCAACAAAGTGTTGATGATGACAAAAGCCTGTTACCCTGAGTGCAACACCTTTGATCTTCTTTTATGGCTTCTTTTTATTGTCCGCGCTTTTGTTTGCTTTGTGCAGAGCTTTTTATTATTTTGAAATGGGATTTTTCACGGGCACTTTGAAAGGAAAAATCTCTGAGCCCACTTCACAAAAAACGAAAACAAAACGAAAAACTGTTGATCCGTTAACGACGTCGACGTTTCTGTCAACCTGATTTTTTTGTGTCGGCCTGTAAGTTTGTCGTCGTATTTGTTATGCGGCGCGTGATTTGACTTTTGGCAATTATCGTTGCGAGGAGCACTGACTAGCTGGCGATTATGAAACATGTCTCGTCTGCGGCGTACCTCTCTCTCTCAGCAATTTGCAAATTGTTTTAGCTGAACTCGTTTTTATTTTATGCTGCTTTTCCCGACTTGCTGACTTTGCACATCTTGCGGACCCATCGAAAGTTGAAACCGATTATCCAGACAGGCTTGTATCATAGTACATGCAGACTCAGTGCATACCATATGTACTTATGAATAGGCATCTGGTAATAACCGCTTCATACAAAAAACAAAAAAAAAAGGCCAAGCTGACATTTAACAAAGGCACAAAGCCCAGACTAATGACTAAGCAAATAACAAGCGATTCTACAAGTGACTTTTGAAAGAGCATCGCAAAGCGAGATGGCAGGGGAAATAAATGCATTTATAATTGCTCAAGACATGCAGAAGAATTGAACAATAATTTTCTGTAACCTTTGATATTCGAGAAAAAATATGTCAGTTAATTTACAAGAAACTGTAGAAATAAATGCCGATTATTTAAGAGTAGTTTTTGCAAATTAAAGACAATTATAGAGGTAAGAAACTGATTTGTGAATAGCTTGCAAGCAATTTAAAATCCCTGAGAAAAAAATTGAAAATATGTGGCTTTAATAAAATAGCTTAAAAATATTTAAAAGTAAAAGTCCCTACATCACATACCAACAAAATTATATAATTGACTAATGTGACAAGTTTTTAAGTTATTCCTAATTCCTCATTTTTAAGCCCCAATCAAAAAGTAAATAAACTAATTTCAACTTTCTACTAAGACATATTTGTAAATGTATATGAAATAAAGAATATGTGAGTGTACTGAAAACAAGAAAATATATTTTTATAAAATAAATGTTTTGACGAACTTATGTACAAGATTTTCCCAATTTCTTTTCCTATATAAATGTATTATATATACATTGGCAGATTTCGGGGCGTTAAAGGGTGGGGTAGGTTTTTGTGTTCTGTTGTGGCAAAAATAATTTGTATGGGTTGTTTCTTTTTGTTCATTATTTTATTGTTGTGCATAAATATTTTACAACTAAAGCTAGACTTAAAGTATTTCGGATAGAGAGAGGGAAAGAGTGAAAAAAAATTATTAAGGAAGAGAAGACAGAATTAAGAGAGAACTGCGCCTGGTATAAAAGCCATTTAAAGTTATTTCAAGTTGATCAAGATTGTATCCACTGTGGGTCGTTGCTTACGCTTGTCTAGACATAGACTTCTAGGTTTCTAGAATTTCTATATATTTGTGAACCAAGGAAAGACTTTTCGCATCTGCATATGTGAACGAATGTGTGTGAGTGGATGTATATGTGTATGTTTATGTGTGTTGTTGTTGTTGTTTAGGTATGGCAGCTTGAAGAATACGAATTGTTTAAATAATTTACATAGCAAAAAAAAAAAAATATATATATATATATAGTAGAGTATTCAAATTAAAAGCAGCAGCACTGGAAAATTTGGAAAGAGTATTTAAGCAGCCGAAATGGTTGTTTACTTCATTTTGTTTGCCGTTGTTGTTGTAAAGCCAAAGCAACGCAGCCAATTATCTACGGTTCGGCAACAAAAGGGTTAAGCTCGCAGAAGATTCTCTTCTCTGGATAAAGGCTAAGACTAGAAATAACTAACTACGCTGAATTTCTGTTTTTTGTTTTTTTTTTCTTTTTGGGTTTTTGTGACCTATTCCGGCAACACTGTGGTGGTGTCATCAAATGTCGCCTCCACCGTGGTTGGCGTCTCTGTGGTGGTTGTTGTTGTCGTTGTTGTCTTGCGCAGGCGTCGGCCACGCCCCTTGCGCCCCGTCTTTTTGCGATGCACAACATGCGTCTCGGAACTAAAGCTTACTGCCTCGCTAACTTTTCTGCCCACAGTGGTGGTTGTGTTTTGGGTGGTTGTTGTTTGTGTGTTCAGATCAATGCTGCCACCAATAGCCCCACTAACTGTGGTAGTTGTTTGGGTATTTTCGGGACTATTGTTTGTGACTATTGTTTGTGTGCTTAGGTTGTTGTTACTACCAATGACTTGGGAACTAATAGCGCCACTGGTGCTTGTTGTGCTTCTTGTTTGAGTATTTTCTTGGTGGTTGTTGTCTGCGGTGGTTGTTGTTGTTGTGTTACCACCAATAGCTTTGGAGCTAATTGTGCTTGTTGTTTGAGTATTAATTTGTTGGCTGTCATTATCTGCGGTGGTTGTTATTTGTGTGCTTAGACCAAGCTGACCCATAATAACAGCACCAATTGGCATGGCTGTTATTGTTTCAGTTTTGGTGGGTGTTGTTGTTTGTGTATTAACTTGTGACTCTGTGGCGCTTTCAATGTCAAAGATTGTGGTTTCTTCAACAGGCACCTGATCGTCTTCTGGCCCTGTGGTTGTTTCTTGTAGTACAACTCTTTCAGGGTTCACACTAATAGCACCATCGATGGTTTGATCTTGAGTGTTAGGGGCCTGCACCACCAGCGGCTGGCGCACTGAGAAGGCTGAATTCGAATCGCTGGGAACTTCGGGTGCGACAGTGGTTTCTGGACTGTTCTCGGCCAGCGACTTTTGCACCTTGCTGAGTATCACCTGATCGAGATTGGCTATCGAAATGACCAGGGGCGAGGACTCATTCGACTCGGGTCGTAGGAGGGGTACAATGGGTCTTACGTAAGTGGGGGCCGGTGTGGTGGCGGTGGTGTCGCTGCCACTGCTACTGCTGATGGTGGTGCTCTCCTCCGTTTCGCCGACAATGCTATTGCTGTTCAGTTGTTTGCCCTTGCGGGCCGAATCGAATAGTCCTTCCAGCGAAATGGTTGAGGTCTCCAAAGCAGCAGTCAGGACTTCGGGAACCAGGGACTTGCCATTGCGATCGGTGGCGTCACCTCCTCCTTCTTCGGCTTCGGGTACTGAATTTCTTACAGGTGCGGAGGCAGCAGCTGATGCTGACGAGATGCTGGGTTCGGTGGGCGTGTAATCGGCCACTGTGCTGTGGCCATCGTTGATCTGAATGTCACTGCCGTCCACCAGATGCACATACTTCACCACACTGATCTCGCCCAGCTGCTCCACATGGGGCAGCGACTCCACGCGCAGTGTGCCAAAGTCCTGATTTGCCTTTGACTTGCGCTGAGCGGCCTTGGCCTGCTTGGAGTTGATCTCCACAATGCGATTGATCTCGATCAGCTTGTGCTTGGGCACCACCTCCGTTTGAATGGTGGGATGGAGTCGTTGGGCCGACGTTGGCGGCGGCCTTCTCGTCGTCGGCTCCTCCTCCTGCTGGCTCTCCCCCTCGATTAGGGTGAACACATGCAGCAATGTGGTGGCCGGCGGCGGTGCTTGGGTGGTGCTCGAGATGGTTTGATCCTGTGAATTGATGGAAGTGGCTTCATTAGCATTGGTCGCTGTTTCAGTTTCGGTTACAGTTTCAGTTTCTGGTGGCGTGTTGGTGGTGGGTTCTGTGGCTGTGTCTGACTGTGGTGTGCTGGGTGGTGCTGGTGATGGTGGTGGTGTACTGGGTGTGGTGGTCACAAAGCCCTGCTCCACGGTGGTCTCTTCTTCCACCGCCACCTCTGTACTACCGCTTTCCACCTCCGTTCCCGTCTCCGATTCCACCTTAACCACCTTGGGCTTCAGGGCCGGATGCTTCTTGCTGTGTTTGTCAAAGATCTTCTTGTTCCTCGCATTCAGTGCATCGATATTCAGGTCTTCAATCAGCGAATTCTCGCTGGCAGTTTCGCTGGCCTCTGTGGAGGGACCCGTGTACTTCCTCTCGTAGCTCCTGTTATTACTGGGTATAAATGGTGCCGGTTTCAGTGGTGTCAGCGGTGTGGTGCGCTCGTAATCTACGGCCACGGGTTTCAGCGTTAAGTTGGGTGAGGCCACTCCTGGTGGTCGGTTGATCACTCGGGGTCGCTTTGTGCTGCCGAAGCGATTGGCATTCGTGGAGCTTGATGGACGATTGCGTGGATTGAAGGGCACATTGCCGGGGGCGGTGGGTGCTTGTGGTGCGGCGGTGCCAGCACTTCCGGTGGCTCCAAAGTTGGGACGACTGCCCGGTGGAGCTCGGTTATCCTTGGGCCTGTATGGGGAATTGAACTTGGGCTTGTCCTGGGCATTATCTTCCTCCTCCTCCTCAACAGGCTTCTTCTCCTCTTCTGCGTCGTCTTCATCCTCCTCTTCATCACCCTCTTCCTCGGAATCCTCCTCATCCTCATCGTCCTCCTCTTCACTCTCCTCTGCCTCATCTTCCTGCTGTGGCTTCGATTTGTCCAACACTGGTCGCGTCTTGGGCACAAAAGGTCTGCGCAGAGTGGTGGCAAACTGATTCTGCACTGGTTGTTCACGCCGTTCTTCCAGCTCCTCGTCATCCTCGCCATTTCCCTGAGACTTAAAGCGATCGGCTCCTGGCAAACGGGATCCCCGTGGATCGCTTCTCACAAAGCCCTCGCCACGATTGCGAACACTCGAGTTGAAGGGATCGAAGCGGCCGTTCTTCTTGCGCACGAACTTCGCTGTGGGTCGGGTGGTGCTGAATGCAAGTGGTGCCTTGGTGGTGCCACCACTGGCCGAGGGTGGTGTATATGGTCTACGGGCCACAAGCTTGCGTTTAAAGAAGGGCTTTGGAGAGGAAACGCCAGATGAAGAGTCGTCTTCGGGCGAAGATTCTTCACCGCGGCGAGTGTTACTGGTGCTGGTGGTGGCTTTCTCCGCTAGCAGCTTCTTCAGACGCTCGTTAATCACGCCTTGTTCACCATCTCCCCGCGCCTGCTCGGCCTTCACTTTCTCCCTCAACTTTTGCAATTCCGAAACATCCTGATCGTCCTTCTGACCCAAGGTCTTAAATCGATTGCTGATCACTCCATCTTGTGGCTCACCTCGTGCCTGCTGCTCTTTGATCCGCTGGCGAAGATTTACGAGATCATTTTCCTGATCCGTGAATCTGGTGTGGCTGGGAACGAAAGGTTTACGGGTGGTTTCATCGGAATTATCCACACTGGCGGCGGTACTTGAGTCGACAGGCCTCAATTTGCGCACAATCTTGCGGAAACGCTTGTTGCCGGAGGTGCTAGTGCTGTTGATGCTTTGGCTTATTGTTGTTGTTGTTGGTGTGGTTGTGTTGTTGTTGTTCTTGTCTGGGTTAGTGTCAGTGGCGCTATTAGTGGTGCTATCTACGGTGGTACTATTATTGCTATTGCTATTCAATGGTCTGCGGAATTTCAGCACACGTATGCGCTTTGGTGTTGGTCTGCTGGTGGTTGTTGTTGTTGTTGTGCTTGCTGCGGAGTCTTCTTCTTCCTCCTTTCCTTCTTCTTCTTCTTGTTTGTGGGCATCACCCTTAGTCTCGGTCTCTTCAGTCTGCTCATCGACTAGGGTTAGTTTAGTTACCTGGGCGCGTTGACGGCCCCCAAAAGCCAATCGTCTGGCGGTGGTTGTTGTTGTTGTTGATTTTGGGGGCTGTTCTTGTGTGGTTGTTGTTGTTGTTGTGGTGTTGGTAGTGGTGGTGGTGCTGCCTCTGGTGCGGCTCAATTGATAACGATTCTGAAAGCGTCGTGTGGAATTAACATCATTACCTAAGGCATTCAAACCAGCCCCATTCGCTTTCTTCTCCCCCTCACTTTCTAGACTAGCATCATTATTATCATCATCGTTTTCATTTTCGTTATCATTATCATTATCATCTCCATCATCATCGTTATCATTATCTGAACTCTCTGCCTTAAGATTAGCTTTGACTGTGACTGGTTTGTTGTTGTTTGTGAAACTGTTTGACTTGAATCGATTAATATAATTGGCTACGGTGCTGTTACTACGTTGACTAGCTACATTCAGTGCGGTGCTACGGTTAGTAAGATTGTTAATGTTAGTAGTGCCTCCCCCCAAAGTATTGTTCTTGTTTAGTGTGTGGTTAGTGTTCGATACCTCAACGGAGCTATCGTCATCTTCTTCATCCTTTTCTTTCCCATCCTCTTCGTTGTCCAAGTCAGTTGTTTTTGTCTCGGTCGTTTTTTGGGTGGTTGTCCTGAGTGGTTGTCTTTGCCTGTTGGCAAGCAGTTGACTTAGTCGTGAACGTGCAGTGGTGCTTGTGACTTGTGAATCTAAAGATTCTTCTTGATCATCCAACCCTTCCTCGTTTTCATCCTCTTCTTCTTCTTGAGGTTCCTCCTCATCCTGATCCTCATCATCAGACTCCGCCCGGTGGTACAAATTTCTATTGATTGCCACAAGATTGCGGCTTGTACTGGAGCTGATTCTCAGTGGTGTTGCGGTGGTGCGACGAGCTCCAAAGTTGGGTGGTTTGCGTGCCGGTACCTCCTCAACTTCTTCAAGAGTGGGTTGGAGAGCTCGATGGCGGTTTGTTTGAAGAAAGACAGCACGTGGCGGTGCCACCTGCTCTTCTTCATCATCATCACCATCATCATCGTTGTCGCTGTCGTCATTAGCCCCACCGTCGGTGGTTGTTGTTCGTGGTGTTGTGAAGCGATTACGTGAGCGGTTCAAGGCCGCGTACGGGCGACGTGTGCTAATCTCGTCGCCGTTCGTTGATCCCGTCGTGCTTGTTGTTGTTGGGATGGCTGATGTCGCATTGAAACGGCGACGTGATAGAAGCGTTCGTCGTGTGGTTGCTGTTACTGTTTTCGCTGTAACTACCTCGCCCTGATCTATTTCATTGTCGGCACTGGGATTTGCGGTCGTCGTCGTCGTCGCATTGAAACGTCGGCGTATCAAAAGTTGCCGCCTTGGTGGAGTTGTTACCGCCTTTGGTGTTGAGCTCTCCGTATCATTTGGATCGATCTCATTCTCCAGATTATCATCGGCAACTGGGGCACCAGTTGTTGTTGTTATAATAGTGCCATTAAAACGGCGACGAATTACCAACTGCCGACGTGTTGTGGTGCTTGCTGGCTTAATAGTGGTCGTCGTTGTTGTTGTTGAAGTGACTTCTGTACTAGAACCACTCTCTTGCAGCGGAATCTCATTGTCATCGTCTATATGGGCCTCCAATTCGGGTTCTTCGGTGCTGTCTTCAGCCTCTTCGGAAGCTTTCTTCTCTGTTTTTTCCTCCGTTATTTTAATTTCCACCTTATTTTCTTCAATATCGTCGTTTACATGCTTTTCAGAAATTATGGTGGTTGATTCTTCATCTTCATTTTCAACTTCGTTTTCCGCTGACTTTTCTGTGGATGTTGTGGTTGTCGAAGTTGAAAACCTTCGATTTATGCCGATATAAGGTTGCCTTGTGCTTTTGGCTGATGTAATTGCGGCCTCGGTTGATTCTTCATCTGCATCTTCATTTTCCTTATTATCACTTTCATTTTCCTCTGGCTTTTCAGTTGTGGTAGAAGTCGTAACCCTGCGATTGATGCCCACATAAGGTTGCCTTGTGCTTCTGGCTTTTGTGGTTGCAGCCTCGGTGGTTGAATCCGTGGCTTCCTCTGTGGCGGTGGTTGTGGTGGTGCTTCCCCTACCTCTTAATCTATTTAAACCAGCAAAGGTGCGTCTTGTAGTTGATTTCACCTTTAAGTCATCTTCGTTGTCGTTATCTAAAATACATTAAAAGTGTTTTAATTAGTTTGCTTGATCAAAACTTTTGTTGCAATTATAAATTGGCATAAAGTTTTCAAACATTTTTTTTAATTTTGTTCATTCAAAAATTGTTTATCAAAAACTTTTGTTTTTAGTAACGGAATTTAATATAATAATTAAAAAAAAAAAACAATTTTTTTACTGCTGAAAATGTTTTATAAATATAAATATAAAACAAAAATTAAAAACTTACGGGTATCAGAAGAATTTGGCTGCTCCACTGCATTGACAGGTCTTCTGGGGGTGAACACTCTTCTGGTGGTGGTTCTTTGGGAACTGGTGGATAATTCTTCCAGTGGTTTCTCGTTCGTTTCTTCATCGTCTTCTTCACTATATTCTGTTGCCGAAGGTGTGGGCGTGGTTGAGCGAACACGGAAGCGCTGGGGAACACTGTAGCTTCTTCTGGTGGTTGTATCTAATGGATAATTTTGGTTCTTTTCCTGCAATCTGGTGGATAGGGTCAAACGAGTGCGATTTAATCTTGTGTAGATTCGCAAAGCTCGGGCGTCTTCTTCGCCTCTCTCCTTTTCTTCGAGAAGAGAGAAGCTAACAATCTTGGAGGTCTCGTTGCTCGAGTCTGTTGCTAATGGAAGTGTTTTAAAGGTCTTTCCCTGTCGCTGGGATTTTGTTTTCACCTCGGTAACCACACCATCTTCATCATCATCATCATCGATGACAGTGGTTATCTCATCATCATCTAGGGTTTCCTCTCCTAATTCGACCAACTTTGCCCCCGGGTGACCTACTTTGACCCGGGGGTTTTCAATAAAAAATGACCGAGTTCGGCATTGATTTCCTTGGCCTGCTCCATCGCCTGGCGATGGTCATCGCCTTCGCCCTCATCAACCAAGGTATTAGTTGGCGTCTCATTTTCACTCACATTGAAAACATCATGGATTTGCTGTTTAATGTTCACAGTAACACTCTCAATATCTGGTGGTGCGGGGGACTTGTCAATGTAGGTGATGGGTGAATCCTTCACATACTGATAGTACTTTCTTCTATGATAAATCGGCAGAGAAAGCTTTTCATCGCCTTCGTCTTCTGAGGTTTCACTTTCCTTGGTGATTGTCTGGCTTTCCAATTTGTTCTCTGATTGGAAGCGGTTGATCGCATTGCTAAGCTGTACTTTAAGATCGCCTAAATCTTCTTCGGTGGTGGTTGTTGTTGTTGCCTCCGTAGTGGTTGTTGTCGTAGTGGTGCTGGTTCTAAGGCGGTTTGTAAACTTCGCCTTGGCCGCTGCCAACAGATCTTCAGTAGATTCGTCTTCAATGAAAGCTGGTGTGGTTGTTGTTGTGGTCCCGGGTCTTCTACGGGCTAGAAATGCTCTGGTGGATGCTTCTACGGAGGAAGAGGTTGCTTCCTCTGTAGACCCATCTTCAATTGGAGCTGCAGTAGTTGTTGTGCTCACAGGTCTTCTAAAGGCTAGAACTCTTTTGGTGGTTGCTTCTATGGCGGATGAGATGGCTTCCTCTGTAAACTCATCTTCAATTGGAGCTGCTGTGGTTGTTGTGCTCACGGGTCTTCTAAAGGCAAGAACTTTTCTTGGGGTGGCTTCTGAGGCACTGGTGGGTTCTGTGGATGTAGTACTTGGTTCTTCAGTGGTTATGCTGGCCTTTGTAGGGCGCTTAAAGGCAAAGCTTGCCCTGCGTGTGCTGGCCTCGATTTCGTTTGGTATTTCAGTGGTTGTTGTTGTCGTACTGCCTCTCGTCGGTCTGGTTCTACGGATTATGGGCCTGGCTGTGGTGCTTACTTGTGGCGCCTCTTCCACTTCGTTACCCACTTCGTGACCTGCTTCATACTCGAATTCTTCAACCTCCTCGTGTTCGATGGTCTCCTTGGGTTTCTTGAGAAGGCGTCTTCGCGTTTTGGTCACCGTTGTTTCCGTTTGGTCCTGTTTCTTGCGGTTGTTGCGTGAGGAAAAGTCCAAGGCCAGTAGCGAAGATAGATCATTGCTCTCAAAGCGCACGGCTCCACGATTGCGTGTCACCGTGCGAGGTGTGCTGCTCGGTGGCGGTGGGTGGGTTACTTCATCGATTATGTACTCATACTCGGCTGGTTTCTCCTCCACGGTTTTGGTGTGGATGCGCTTCACCACCTTTTGCCCCGCGTCAAGGGTTCGCACGTAGGTGGTGCGAGTGCGGGTGATTCCGTTGCCCAGGTTATCGATTTTTGTGGTGGTGCGATTGCGGACACCATTCAACGAAGTGCGACCACTATATACCTTCTCCACTCTTTGCGGTTCTTGTGGTTGCTGCTCTGTTTCCTCTTCTTTGGAAGAAGATGAATGACCATCAGGTGTTTCTGTGCTCGTGGTGCTATGGTTGTTCCTGGCTCTTTTGTTGGCATCTGCCGCTAGAAGAGAGGAGAGGTCTCCCTCTTTGCGTGGCCTAAAACTACCTCTGACTATTACACGACGTCTTGGCAGGGCTGTTGTGGTCTCACTCTCCTTTTCACTTTCGGTGGTAGTGGTGGTTGTTGTCGTGCCTTCTGTGGTGCTGCTGGTACGGAAGAGGCTACGTCTGGTGGTGCTGCTCACTTCGGCTTCTTCTGTTATTGTTGTGGCTTCTGTGGTGATCGGCGTCTTATTGTGGAAAAGCGATCGACGAGTGGTTGTTGTGTCTATTTCAGCCTCAACGCCAATTAAGCTGCTATTAGTATCTTCAATTGAGGCTGTGCTTGAAGCTTCAGTTGTGCTACTTCTAGAGAACGAACGACGCGTTGGACCCTCTGTACTTAATTCGTCATCACTTTTTGGTTCAGTGGAACTGCTAGGTGCCTCTGTGCTGCTGCTAGGTGCCTCAGTAGTGCTAAACCTGAAGAAGTTGCGTCTCTTTGGTCCTTCAGTAGTTGACTGTGACCCACTTTCTGCTTCAGCGGTGCTGCTAGGTGCATCTGTGGTGCTGGTTCTATAAAAACTGCGTCGTTTCGGTCCTTCTGTGGTTGTTTCAGCTTCACTTTCTACTTCAGCGGTGCTGCTAGGTGCATCTGTGGTGCTGGTTCTATAGAAACTGCGTCTTTTCGGCCCTTCTGTGGTCGATTGAGCTTCACTTTCTGCTTCGGTGGTGCTGGTTTTGGTGCGCACTATAACACGACGACTTGGGCCGGCGGTGGTAGTTGTTTCTTCTTCTGCCACAGTTTCAGTTTTGGTTGAGCTAAAGCGGTTGAAAGAACGTCTGGTTGATTTTTCTGTAGTTGTCGTGGATTCCTCTTGGGGAACGACTTTGGTACTAGTGCTACTGCTTTCTGGTAATTCAGTACTGCTGACAGGTAATTCTGTGGAGCTTTCGCTGATATCAGTTGCAGTTTCTTTTACTAGAGCTTCTGAGTTAGATTCGGTAGTACTGCTGCTGGAGTCTTCAGATTGAATAGCTGTACTGCTAATTGGAGCTTCTGTCGATGATACTTTGGTGTCGATGTCTGAACTTAAGAGCTTGACGGTTTCTATAGCTTCCTTAGATTCTTTTTCAACGGAATTCATTTCTGTGGAACTGCTGCTGCTTTCCTCAGATTGTTCGGTGGTGCTGCTAACAGGTGTTTCTGTTGAGCTGCTAGAATCTGAAGTTTCTGAAGGCAGAGTGGTGACTTCCGGCTGTGATGGTGCAGCTGCAGTGATAATTTCCGGAGATTCCTGTTCGGTAGCCGTGTTGCTGTCATCTGTAATTTCACTTCCAGCCGGTGCCTTGGTCTCTCCTCGCTTCTCATCATCGATTATCTCGGCAGCCACATTTTCGTCTTCGGTGGTGCTTTCTACAATCTGGCCACCTCTGCTTACAGGTTGATGCAGAGGCAACGATGTTTTGGCTGCTTCGCCCAGATTTCTTACGAAACTGGAACTTCGGCCTGCAGTGAGAGTGGCTCCACCTTCGGAATTGCGCGTTATGGCCTTGTATTGGATTTGAGAATCATCCGAGGTGGCTCTGCTAGCGGTGCGTTGGATACTTTGGTAACTGCGGGAACCATGCGATGTCGTTTCCGTTTGCCCCTCCAATGCCACTTCGGACTCTTCTTCGGCGGAATTTAAACGACGACTGCGAAACTTGGTGGTGGTGGGAAGGTCCTCTTCCACATTTGATTCCGCGTTCAACTGCTTGCCGGCAAAGCGACGTGAGTCCTTATCGTCACCGGTAGCTAGAGAATTGGGAACCACTGTACGCCTAGATGTAGGACCTCGCACCCCGCGCCAAGTGTACTTGACGTGCGGTTCGGTGGTGGTGGTGCTGGATACATCGCTATCGATGTTGTGGTTTTGGGATTGACTTAAACTAGAGCTAACTACTACTTCATGCCTTAAGCTATTGCCACCGTTACCGTTAGCTACATCTACTTGGGATTCTTGGTGGTGCAGTGAGGAGGTTTTGGTTCGTGTGTTGATTGCTGTTGTGGTTGCTGTTGGTGGAAGACTGGCACTCACCTTGGACCTATCCCCTGGAGATAGTCGTGTCTTCTTCACTACTTGCGCAACTTCATCGGTTTCGTTATCGTTATTGGTATTGTTATCATTATCGTTATCGGTTTGGGGGACAGTGGTGGTGGTGCTAGTGCTGGGTGTAGGTCGAGTGCGTCGTCGGGGATAACCAAAGGGTCTGGGACTAGAAAGGTTTGGTTCGGTGGTTGTTGTTTGGGTCTGTTCTTGTGGTTGGGGTTGCCTTCTGCCCGGATTGGTTCTAATTCTATTTAAACTACTCAAACCGTTTGTTGTTGGACTAGCATCGTTCGCTGCTTCTGCATTGTTGTTGTTGGTGGTTGTTGTTGTTGTGGTTATGCGTCGACGGTTGGTGGTTGCATACTTGTACTGGGTCTTAGTTTTTGTTACCTCACTGTCCTCGTCCACGTTGTTTACGTCATTCAGTTCGCTGTTGCCCGTGGTTGTGGTTGTTGTTGTTTTCGGTGTGGTTGTTGTTGTGGTGTCCAGTTCGGGTTCCGTTGTTGTTGTGGTTGTTGTTGTTGTCGTTGCTAAGTCAGGATCGGAAGGAAGGAGGGTGGGTGAGGCTTCGCTCAGCTCGGTGGCTAGCAGAGAGTCTGAGCTAAGGCCATTGTTGGTTGTTGTCGGGACAGTGGATGCTGCAATTGGTGTGGGTGTGGTGGTGGTATGCAGGTTGTTAGTTATGGATGTGGTGGTGGTTGAGGTGCTTTCATTTGGTTCAGTGGTTTCGTTAGTTGTGGTTGTGGTGGTGGTGGTTTCGGATTGAGCAGTGGTGCTTGGTGTTGCTGTGATGTTCTCTTCTGTTGGTATTAGGTTATTCAGTTTCACATTGTTGTTGTTATTGCTGCTATTGTAGTGGTTCTTGTTGTTGTTGGTGGTGGTGGTTGTGCTGGCCTTGGCAGTCTCAGTGCCGGCGGTTGTTGTTGTTGTAGTTTCTGGTGTTGCTGTTGTGGTGGTGGTTGTTCTGCGGCCGATGCTCGCGTATTTACGTGTGTTTGTGGTTTGTTTGCTCTGTACCGTAACATTTTCCTTTTGCTCGTCCTCGTACTCTTCCTCTTCGTCCTCGGTTGGGTCTTCCACATCCTCGGCACTTGCACTCTTGGTTGGTCGCGAACGCTCAAAGTATTTGTAACTGTAGAAAAGGGCAATTATTTCATTAAATTATAAGAACAATAGATAAATTTCACATCACTCACCGATTGGTTGTCGAACTGGGCGCCGCCTCCGTGACATCTGGTGAGGTGGTAGTGCGTCCACGCGTGCGGCTCAAGGTGGCATAGGATTTGACCTGAGTCTGGGTTTGTTCCTCCGCCTCCGCCTCCGCCTCCTCCTCGGATTTTCCTGCTGGCGGTGCCACTGTGGTTGGCCTTGTGCGCCTTAGACTTGTGTAGGAGGGCGTGACTGAGCTCAAGGGACGACGTGTTGTGGTCTCAACTTCCGACAGATTCTCCTCCTCCTCCTGCAGATCTGCATGCTCCACCTCATCTCCCTGACTGGCAGATCGATGACGATTGATGGTCACATATTGTTTGCGTTCCTTCAGGAAACCATCGAATTCGGCCAACTTTTCAATGCCCTCGTTTTGTGGACCCTGGCGGCTGTTACCCCTCAACACTGAGGAGTATTTGGAGTATGAACCACTCGATGAACCGCTCGAAGAACTGGCCTCCGTGCTCGTCTCTGTGGCTTCGCTGAACTTCAAACGATTGCGGGTGAAGGAACTCAACGTGCCAGGTCGACTCAGAACACGGTCATAGAGAGATTTGCTGATCGTAGAGGGTGTGGTCGCCGCACCACTAGCAGAGTTCTCCTTCAACGTGATCGATCCATCCTTGTTGCGCAACAGATGCTTCTCCAGCTGCTCCACACCACCCACTTTGCGTATCAGGTCGATCAGCTCCTTGATAACCTGCGGATCCTCCTCGGCATCGGTGGATTTGCTTGGCGACAGTTCATCGGTGTCCTCTTCGTACTCCAGATCTTCATCAACACTGGCTGGCGTTGTTGTGGTGGTTGTTGTCGTACTTGTTGTGGTGCTCGTGGTGGTGCGTGGATACACTGGACGAGCTGTGGGTGCAGCAGTCACTCGATTCGAACGCACTGTGGTCGTCAGCGGTGTTGTGGAGGTTACTGGAGCCACTGTGGTGGATCTAAAAAGTAAAACAACAAATTATTTTAACAACTTTTAAAACAAGAAAGAAAGCAAACTTCGGCAAGCCGAAGTTCATATACCCTTGCAGCTATTGCAAGAATTAAACATTTTTGAAAACATTAAAATTATGATTTACTTTCGTATATGTTTAAAAACATTGAAGCTATGATGACTTGCAGCTCAATTATTTGATAGTTATTTTATATATTTTTATTATTTCTAAGGGAGCTATATGATATAGACGTCCGATTTTGATAAAATTTAAACCATAATTCTGAAATATTTAACCATTGCTATATGTCGAAGAACTAAACAAAAAATCAAAAAACAGAAAAGTTATAATTTTTTTTCATTTATTTTTCCGATTGTTCCTATGGGAGCTATATGATATAGTCGTCCGACTTTGATGAAATTTAAACCGTAAATCGAAAATATGTAACCATTACTAAATGTCGAAGAACTAAACAAAAAATTAAAAAACAGCAAAGTTATAATTTTTTTCATTTATTTTTCCGATTGTTCCTATGGGAGCTATATGCTATAGTCGTCCGATTTTGATGAAATTTAAACCGTAAATCGGAAATATTTAACCATTACTAAATGTCGAAGAACTAAACAAAAAATTAAAAAACAGCAAAGTTATAATTTTTTTTCATTTATTTTTCCGATTGTTCCTATGGGAGCTATATGCTATAGTCGTCCGATCCGGCTCGTTCCGACTTATATACTACCTGCAATAGAAAGACAACTTTTGGGAAAGTTTCATGCAGATAGCTTTAAAACTGAGAGACTAGTTTGCATATAAACGGACGGACAGACGGACAGACGGACAGACGGACATGGCTAGATCGACTCGCCTAGTGATGCTGATCAAGAATATATATACTTTATAGGGTCGGAGATGTCTCCTTCACTGCGTTGCAAACTTCTGACTGAAATTATAATACCCTCTGCAAGGGTATAAAAATACTAGATAAAATCACATACTTCTTGGTCTTGCAGGGCACATTGCGTGCAAAATCACAGGAATCGGCGGCCGGATTGAAGTACAGGCCCGATGGACAGGTGAACATGTGAGCCACGATGCCAAGACCAGATGGTCCGCTATCCAGGCACCAGTAGTACTTCTTGCAATCCCTGGGATGCTGGAAGAAGCCCTCCTCCTCGCACTTGAAGTCCGACCCTGGATCGGGCGTCGTTGGCGGTGGTGGCGTGGTGGATGCCCTGCCTCCAATGTAAAGCGAGGATCCCTCGGCTTCGGTCAGCTTGAAGGTGGTGCTCGGCGGTGGTGCATGAGTTGTGGTGGAGCTGATAGCTGGTCGCCTAGTGGCATTGGGTCGCCTGGAGCTGGCCGGAGCATCGGTCTTGCCGTTCAGACGGTTCCTGGTGGCGGCATTATCGCGACTGCGAGATCTTGAGGGTTTCTGCGGGCCACTTGGCTTGGCCACCTCATTGATGCCCAGTCTGCAATGGTAAGAAACCCATTAGAATACAGTAAGGTTAAAAAAGAGCTACAGTGGCGGTCAAAATAATAGTTTTTTTTGGAAGCTAATGGAAATAGCGATCAAAAATACTTTTAGGTTTTATATTTTTGTTAAGCTTATACTATAAACTGGGGACAATATAAAAATCTATATTTAGCATAGGTTTAATATTTTTTAATATTTTTAAAAAATTGCCTGTGAGGTATGTTTTTGAGCCATTTACATTGTCTACTATTATTTTGACCATAGCTGTGTAATTTGCTTACCCCAGTGCCTCCACCATGGCCTCCTTGGCAGCCTCGATCAGAGGATATGGCTTGCCGTTGCAGGTGCCGCGGAAATCGTCGTTGTCAATGGCCCAGAACATGATGCCACCCAGTCCCTGGGCCACCACATACTCGGCCTTCTTGCGCACGATGGCCTCGTCATCGTAGCCCACCCACTGGTTGCGCCTGTAGGCATAGGGGCCCATCACATTGGCATTCGGCTGCACCACCGTCCACTCGGGATCGTCCTTTAGAGTCTGACATATCTGGTCGGGGATTTATGGGTGTTAAGTAAACATTTTATCAGGCCAATGCACTAAAAACCAACCTCATAGTAAGCCAGATATCCTTTCTCGCGAGTGGCATCGCCCTGCTCGCCCGGACCCTCTGAAGGTGCTCCCAGTTCGGTGCTCTCCTCATTGATCAAAGTGTAGGAACGTCCATAGGTGGGAATGCCCAGGACGAGCTTGTCACGATCGGCTCCCGCTTTCAAGTAGTATTTGATGGAGTAGTCCTGCATAAATTTAAGATATTTTTATAAAAAATTAAATTATACATTGCTTTGTGGAGCTTTCAACCCCCATTTGGCTTCGAAAAATTAATTCTTTGGCCAATTTTCGCATTTGCCATATGTTGTTACATCAGAATTTTTTCCAAAAATTGCCAAAAAAAAAAAATTTTTTAGCTTTTAATGCAAATCGATTGGAAAATAATAACGTATTCAAAGAGGTTTAACATTTTAGCATAGAAAGATTGTACTTTCATAATTTTATGCAAAAATTGAACCAAGACAAAATGTTTAAGCTTTAAATGCAAATTGATTAGACATTTTATAACTCAATCAATAAGGTAAGAAATTACAACTTTTGACTATAGTTTGCAGGATTTTGACAGAAAAACCGAAACTTGATTTGAGTGTTCAAGGCTTTTGGTCTTTTTGGTAGAATTTAATCAAAGAGAAAACTCACAATATTCAACTCGGCATCGTAGTTGTACTCGGAGTCCTCCTCCAGTGAATAAAGCGGGGCATGGTGGTTGACCGATGGCTCGTGCGAGGAGTGGAAATCGTAGGTGAGGACATTGAACCAATCGAGGTACTTGTTCAGCTTGGGCACATCGTAGCCCTTGTCGATGTACTCGATGCCAGCGGGCACGGCCATGGTCAGAAGGAGTCGCGTGCGTCCTGTTTTCTCCGCTTCCCTTTCGAATTCGGCTCGCAACTCCTGGACAAACTGGGCATAATTATCGCGATCCCGCGATTTACCACCCTCTCGATGGGCCGGATACTCCCAGTCCAGATCGATGCCATCGAAGTGGTTCTGTCGCAGGAATTTCAGGATGTTCTTGATGAACTGCTGCCGGCGCTCGTTGCTCGCCACCAATGGCGAGAATCTGGAACTGGCCTCGTTCCAACCGCCAATGGCAATCATGGTCTTCAGCTGCTTGTTGTACGTTTTGAGTCCAGTGAACTTGGCATAGCCACCTGAAAATATACATGCAAAGATATATATAAAGGGCACCATCAGACGGACAGGAAATTAAAGGCGAGTCAAATTAACTCGACGGAAGGAGAGGGGGCGTGTCTGCGTTACTTTACTCACCCTGCTCGATGTCCTGGTACTTGTCAAAGGGCTTCATCTGGTTATCCTTGGTGAATCCACCGAATGCGTACACCAAATGTGTACACAGGTATGGATTGATGTTCTGCGGATTGAATTTGGCGGTGCCCGGCCGATAGACACTCCAGTTTGTGTAGTAGCAGACCACGCGACCCTCGCTGCTGGCTTCTGTTTTTGATACAATCGTAATTGATAGGGGGTTGGAAAATGGAAAATGGTTTAGTGACAGTCTGAACAGCATAATTTAAATTGGTTGTTAGTTTATACTGTTGCAAAAAATTCCTTAAGTCTAAATATAATTTTTTTTAATATTTGTAATACCAAATAAGAAGATTAAAACAAATATAAAAAGAATATAGTTCTTATACAAAATCAAACTTGATTAAGTTAAAAATCTATTTAACGATTTAAAATTAACAAACCAATTGAATAATAAATAATAAACTAACTTATTTGTATTCACAAATCTGGCAATACATTTTACAAAAGAAAAAAAAAAACGCATTCAGAGTAAGAGATATTTTTTCTGCATGCTAAGCCTTTTAATTATTTGCAAATTTTTTAAACTTTGTATTCTATAGTTTAAAATACAATTGCAATGAAAAAAAAGCTATATTACAGAAAAAATAAAAATAATACAATATTTTAATTATATAAACGACCTACGTTTTGTTTCTAAAAGTGACAATACATTTTGTAAAAAAAAAAAAGAAAGTGCATTCAGAGTAAAAAATCATTTTTCTATCTGTTAATTATTTTTATTATTAAGAAATCTATTTAATTCATATTCTAAGAACTCTTTTTTGTATATGGTAAGCCTCTTTATTATTTGCAAATTTACCTAACTTATGTTCTTTTGTTTAGTTTATATTAAGCTAAAGGAAGACTTACCATTTATGCAATAGGCGAGAGCGCAGAGCAGGAAGAACGTTTGCCAGGCCGCTCCACGCCGGAACTGCAAGAAATAAGAGAAAAAATAAAATAAAAAAAAATGAAGGAAGGAGAACAATAAGCGTTGGGCAATTATATCAATTCGATTTTTGAGATTTTCAAAGCAGCACAAGGCGGAAGCCAACGGCAATTAGCATATCGAATATCGAAAGACCAGTCGCAAATCCGCAGATCGCCATGGGCCATCAGCATTGACACAGTGACATCGATGGATAGGGGGAAATCTTAGATGGGAGATTGTAGATCGGAGATCGGTGGAGTGCATAAATCTGGGCGAAAACAAAAGACTCAAAGACACGAACTCGAAGAAGTGGTGGTTGGTTGTTGGTTCCCATGAAGGTCGCTCATCAAATCGCGGCTTACATAATCACACTCGCTGTGATGTGTCGAGATGAATTTCATATGCAAATTGTCGAGCTAATCAGATGCAAATGCCACGCCCCGTTTTTTTTTTTTCTTTTTTTTTTTTTTTTTTGTGTCATAAGAGAAGCAGCTGACTAGGAAGCGGTACTACGCTACTACTCATTATTATTTGTGGAGCACAACTGAGTCACACACACACTCATATAAATATCTTAAACGGATTTTCATATTAAAATGCCAAAGTGTTACAACAGTTTTGGGCCGCAGCCACAATGGGCCCAAATCTTTTTTCGGATTTTGGTCAGCAACCGTAAGAGAAACAACACCAGATTACATAAGCAATTCGTACCAAAAACTCGACTTCGATTGCGTTTGCGTGTGTGGTGTGTGTGAGCCATGCCGGTTTTTTTTTTTATTTTTTGATTTTTACTTGGGCTGACACACACACACACACACAAACACACACTCACAACGTAATCGTTCATTCATCGAAGTGAATTTTACACACAGCGAACACAGTTGCCTGAATATAAAAAATTGATCAAGTCAAGACAACACATCAGCATCATCGAAAAAAACATCAAAAACATCTGCCAGTGATGAGATTCGAACAGGTTGGATTGCCGCAGCTCATAACTAATTAGCAAGCTGGCCATTTCTCTATATACTATACTGCATGATATGTACAGTATGTTAAGTTTTTGCTAATTGCATTTGCCCGCCACAGGGAAACTTTCTTTTCGCTAAAAAACAATTATCTATAAATAAAAGCCATCATCATAATCATCCAAAGGGAAGGCGCTTGAGCCAATTGTTTAGAAACTAAGGTCGTACATTAAATTTAAAACCAGAGAATTGCTGTTGTGCAAACCTCTTTTGCTGGCACATACTCGACTCTGAGAAGAATACCATATTTGAAGGCTAAATGCTTGTCCACAAGTCACAAAGGCGATAAATCTAACTTAAACTAGTTTCACTTGTTTTGTCTTGCATAGATAAAAAGATACAAAAACATAACTTTGACCAAAAAAGCATGAACACAAGACCCTAAAAGTTGTCAAATCAATGTTTTTCTTTTAAAATTTATGAGCACACTTTATGATGAGTATCAAATGATATACAAATATTGTTATACACTTTTAAGAATGGGAAAAAATGCTTCAATAATTTAATAAATCCAAAATATTTATTTAAATTTTTAAAATAATTAATGAGTAAGGTAAATGTGTGGCAAATGCTTCAAATCAATTGATTTGAAAGTTGTTGAATAAATAACAGAAATAAGAAATAATCTAACTTTTAATGTGTAATATTAAAAGAAAGAAAGTGTTGCTTAAAATATTACAAATATATTTAAAATTATGAAATAATTAATCTTTGTAACATTCAAAACCATAAGTTAAAAGCTAGTTTAAACACAATAAATACAATTTTTTAAGAATGATTTATTGATCTTTGAATACGGCTAAGTTTAGAACAAAACTTTCATTGGCTCTTGAAAATGGCTACCTTCTAAGTTCTTAACCCAAATTGAAGTCAAGAGTTTTTCCTAAGAGTGCTGGCAAAATTGCACTTGCAAAATGCTTTTTGCAGCTTAAAACATCAAATGGGTAGCGTTTGCGTTTATATGGTGGCTCTTTGAAGCTTTCCCCTTTAGCCGTAAATCGTATAGCGTAAACTGTAAACCGTATCCATATCCGGCATACTTGTTGTCCCATTTTGCTGCTGCAAAAAGTAAAAAGTAAAAAAGCTAAAAAAACAAAAAGGCAAAAGCACTCAAGACATTCTGGCGGAGGGGTAATGGCATATATTTAACCGCCGAACTGCGAATGTATTAAAATGTGTGTGTGGACATTGATTGGGTCATTGGACCAGCATAGGTAAACAAGATATGTTTATGGAACGCTATGGCAATTTACATTTATATATAGCCATCATTTACATGGTGGTTGTTGTTGTTGTTGCTATTGCTGTTGCTATTGCTGTTGCTGTTGTCGCTTACGCATTGCTTAACATTGCTTTATGGCAGCGACTGCAGCAGCTGCTTACATAAAATTGCATGCCGAAAAAAAACGAAGAAAATGTACAAACTAAACAACTTAAATGAAAATGAAATGACAACAATTTGGATTGTACAATGCGCATGAGCATTCGCATTCCCATTCGCATTTCGCATTGATTGGCCAGACTCTTTGGTTTGACAAATTTGTCGATTTTACGCAAAGTGAACAGCAGCAACACATGTACTTAAAGGCAAATGCCACATTTGTTTTAGTTTAGTTTATTTTTTTTTTTTTTTTGTTCCAGCCTTATTTTCTTTTAATTGCAACTAGCGGTTGGCAATTAAAATCAGGCTTAATGTGGAATGAACAAGTGTGTTGCTGCTGCTGCTGTGTTGATGTTGCTGCAGGGCGCTGAAACAGCAGCTTCCACAGCGGGCCAAAATTGAGAATCATTTTGGCCGGATTTACAGCCCCAGCGGCGGTACAATTTATGGACAAGTTGTTGCTGCTGCTGTTGTTGCTGCTGCTGCGACAACAAGTTGCAACACTTGGGGAGATCCAGTGTGTGTGGCACATTTATACAGATACTCACTTATATATACATATTTAGAGATATACAGATATATGTACTGCAACAGCAGCTGGAGAGCCCGTTGCTTACGTAAGGCATCGCATTACGAAAAAATAAAATCAAAAACAAACTCGTAAAAAATGCACAAATATTGCGTATATATATAGGTAGGCAATTTCACAGTTGCACGTTGGCTTTGCATAAAATCTGGATCTGAATTTAACCTTGAATCGAACCAAGCAAAAACAACCTCATAAATCGCGTTGCATTTTTTGTATTGGGATCAGGTCGCCACTTGATTTTGAGAACTTTGAGATCATGAGAAGCGAATCGCCAATACAGATACTCAATGCTCGATACTGGATACTTGAGCTGTCGCTCAGAAATTAGAAATCGCTTGTTTCCACCGCTGACAGACATGAATCAAGGGGTCTACAATAGATTCTTCAGGCCAACTTAAAAATGCCCCAATTAAGTGAGTCACTCCCACGAATGAAGTCATTACTTTTCATATTTAAAACATTAAAATATTAAATTCTGCAAATAAATACAAAATTTACTATTCAAATTTGAGAATTTTGCAGTTCAAAAATTTAACTAATATTCATTTATAAAAGATTACTAATTAATAATGAATTTAAATAGTTTAATTATCTCAATTTATACCTAAAAAATAAACCAGTATATTCTAAAATGAAATACAAACTTTTCTATTAAAACTTGTGAATTTTTTAGTTCATAAATTTACCTGATACTCATTTATAAAAGATTTCAAAGTCCCAACTAAACCGCCAAAACAATAATTAATCTTATAAATAGTATCATTATCTCAATTTATTATGTTAATCCAATAAATCACAAGGATACATTACTTTGTTATTCACATTTAAGCTGTAATCCAAAGCTTATTTGGTGATTAATTAGTATTTTTAATTAATTAGCACCTCATTTAAACACTTTTTTTTGTACCAGCCGCAAAATAATTATGTTTTATGAAAACTAATCATGTTAATGCTACTTAACCATGCTTTTGAATACCATAACAGTAATTTGTATGATTGTGGTGTGATTTTAAGGGTTTTTTACGTCTTTTCTGAGTTTAAAACATAAGAGGTAATATTTTTGCTATTAAATGTATGACTCATTATTTTTTTGGCTGGCAAAATTTATGTGAAGTGTGCTGCTGCTGCCATTCGAACAGCCGTGAATCATGTGTGAATATTTTGGAGTAAATTGCTGGTCTGCTGGCCATCAATCTTGGCTTCCACAAAACTACAAAAATTCCACAGATAATGCTTTGGCTATTCGTAATCCCTGAGCTCTTTGCAGCTGCCATCTACATCTACAACTACATCCAGCTCCAAACACCTCACTCATTTACAGCCCAAAAGCATGACTTGGCTAAAAGGGAAAAAACGTTGTTGTTGTTGTTCTTGTGGTACAGTAAAGTTCAGTTGAGTTCGGTTTGGTTCGGTTCGGGGCTCTTGAAATGCAACTTAAAATTCAAAGAGGGTATGCTGTTGTTGCAGTACCGCTGCCGCCTGGAAATCGACTGGAAATTTCCGTAGCACGTAGAATGTGCCGCACATCATGTCACGTTTCAGGTACCAAAGAGCGTCGAGCAATGTCAACGCCCCAAAAAATAAAACAAAAGCGGGCTCCCAGAGATCAATGTCTGCCCAAGAGACATTGCGTATACGCCCCGTTTTTTTATTTTTTTTTTTTTTTTTTAATATTTTGCATGCGGCAGCGGGTGTGCCAAGATGAAGAGTTTTAAAAAGTAAACAAAAGTATTGACATTTGAGCAGGCCACTCCACTTGTCCAGTTCGAATCCAGAGTGGGTGTGCCAAAAACAAATAAAATCGAAAAACCACAAGCAAATCCTTATGGCAAAACCCAAAAAACCACCGAGCACAATGCCAAAGATCAACGGCGATAATGCTGATGCATTTAACTCATGCATTTAGCCGGGATTTATGCCGTGCGAAAGTTGAGCATTGTTGGCCAACAATCTCGAGATTAGCGTGCGAAAGATTTTCCCAGTCCCCCAAAAACTCAGTCCTAGT